CTGTAACGGTACTCAAGTTATCGTGTTTACACACACACACACATACATACATACAGGACAAGATTGCAAAACTATGTTTTTCCGACTCAGGGAGCCCTAAAACGTCGAGATTTGCAAAAATCTCGATTTTTCTTTTTGCACGATTACTAGACTTTTTCTATAGAATACTTAGTTTATACGAGAAAGTAAAAAAAGAGGGAGATTTGTTTTTGTAATCGGAAGGGGAGGAGGGGGGGGTCAGTTATATAAAACCTTTCACGGTATTTCAAGTTTATTTTTTTAAACATTGCAAACAATAAAAGCATAATTTTAAAAACAAATAGTTCTAGACTCCGATCGTGTAACTAAATCAGTCTAAATCATTAATTTGTGTCAAAGCCTATGACGACACAGATCTAGATACTTGTTTTCAAGTAAATAAACCGGGAGTGATCTCCCATAAACTTTCTCGAATCTAATATATAAAGCTCAATTCTGTAACGCATATGTTTGTTTGTCGCTGGTTATCGATGGATTTAAGTGTTATAATATTATCGTGCGCATTTCTCTAAATTTATGAGTTAAAAAATTACTATTGAAAGTGTTGGGAAATTATTTTCATTTTTCAAATTATAGTAATAATTGTCGGCATGTTCATTAAACACAAGTTTAAAAAAAATATCATCTTTTACAACAATTCTAATTATGTCTTTATTTAGTCCTATAGCGCTTACTTCCCTTTGATAAATTAGGCAAAACACAATTACTTCCCTTTATAAAACCATTGCATTAGTTGAAAAGCATTTACTTTTTAATTACTTTGTTTTGGTGTTGGGAAAAAAATAATTACATAATTAGCGGGGATTGATCAAGTGCAAATGTTGTAGGTATTTTACGGATAAGCTTGGAGTATTATAATTGTTCATTAAATTGAAACAGGCGCGTTCGTTTAAGTGAGTGCAAAAACTATGAATAAGTTGGGGTACTATAGTCGTTTATTAAGCTAAAACAGGCGATTCTGCCCCGGGCGTTTATGTTCGCGTTAGTGTTTTCTCTGTGTTTAGGTGGGTTTGCGTTAGTGGTTGCGTTTTGATTTGGTTCGTTTTTGTTCTTTCTTTTTTCGTTTTTGTTTGTGTTTTTTTTGTTTGGGTTTGTATTTGTGTTTTTGGTTGGTTTTGCGTTTGGATTTGGTTTGTTTTCGTTTGCTTTTTCGTTGTTTTTTTTTTGGTATTGGTGTTTGTGGTTGGGTTTGTTGTTAGGTTTTTGTTTTCGTTTGCTTTTTTGTTTGTTTTTTCTTTGTGTTTGTATTGGTGTTTGTGGTTGTGGTTGGGTTTGTTGCTAGGTTTTTGTTTTCGTTTGTATTTGTAATTGTGTTAGCGTTATGTTTGCGTTTTGTTGTTTTGGTTTTGGTTGGTCGTGGTTTGGTTGAGCAATGCCGGGTTTATGATGATTACTAAACACACAGGTAATGGTCTTTAACAGAAAAGTTTTTCACAGAAGCCAGAGCAGGGCCTGGCCGGGACGGCTAGTCTAATATATAAAGCTCAATTCTGTATGTAAACATACATATGTTTGTCGTTGACATACTTCGATGGATTAAAGTGTTAGATAATTAAAGTCCTTATGGTCTAAATTTATGAGTTAAAAAATTAATATTGAAAGTTTTGGAAAATAATTTTCATTTATCAAACTGAAAGTAATAATTTTCGGCATGTTCATTAAACACAAGTTTTAAAAAAATATCATCTTTTACAAAAATTCTAATTATGTCTTTATTTAGTCCTATAGCACTTACTTCCCTTTGATAAATTAGGAAAACACAATTACTTCCCTTTATAAAACCATTGCATTAGTGGAAAAGAATTTACTTTTTATTACTTTGTTTTGGTGTTGGGAAAAAAATAATTACATAATTAGCGGGGATTGATCAAGTGCAAATGTTGTAGGTATTTTACGGATAAGCTTGGAGTATTATAATTGTTCATTAAATTGAAACAGGAGCGTTCGTTTAAGTGAGTGCAAAAGACTATGAATAAGTTGGGGTACTATAGTCGTTCATTAAGCTAAAACAGGTGATTCCGCCCCGGGCGTTTATGTTCGCGTTAGTGTTTTCTTTGTGTTTAGGTGGGGTTGCGTTAGTGGTTGCGTTTTGATTTGGTTCGTTTTTGTTCTTTCTTTTTTTCGTTTTTGTTTGTGTTTTTTTCTATGGGTTTGTATTTGTGTTTTTGGTTGGTTTTGCGTTTGGATTTGTTTAGTTTTCGTTTGCTTTTTCGTTGTTTTTTTTGTGTGTTGGTATTGGTGTTTGTGGTTGTGGTTGAGTTTGTTGTTAGGTTTTTGTTTTCGTTTGCTTTTTTGTTTGTTTTTTCTTTGTGTTTGTATTGGTGTTTATGGTTGTGGTTGGGTTTGTTGTTAGGTTTTTGTTTTCGTTTGTATTTGTAATTGTGTTAGCGTTATGTTTGCGTTTTGTTGTTTTGGTTTTGGTTGGTTGTGGTTTGGGTGGGCAATGCCGCGTTTATGATGATTACTAAACACACAGGTAATGGTCTTAAACAGAAATGTTTTTCACAGAAGCCAGAGCAGGGCCTGGCCGGGACGGCTAGTCTAATATATAAAGCTCAATTCTGTATGTAAAAATAAGTTTGTTTGTCGTTGACATACTTCTATGGATTTAAGTGTTAGACTATTATCGGGCTCATAGTCTAAATTTATAAGTTAAAAAATTACTATTGAAAGTGTTGGGAAATAATTTTCATTTTTCAAACTGATACTAATAATTGTCGGCATGATCATTAAACACAATTTTTTTAAAAAATATCATCTTTTACAAAAATTCTAATTATGTCTGAAAATTATTTATATTTAGTCCTTTAGCACTTACTTCCCTTTGATAAATTAGGAAAACACAATTACTTCCCTTTAAAAAACATTGCATTAGTGGAAAGAATTTACTTTTTATTACTTTGTTTTGGTGTTGAGAAAAAATAATTACATAATTAGCGGGGATTGATCAAGTGCAAATGTTGTAGGTATTTTACGAATAAGCTTGGAGTATTATAATTGTTCATTTGGTTTGGTTTGGCACCTACGTTCGTTTAAGTGAGTGCAAAAGACTATGAATAAGTTGGGGTACTATAGTCGATTATTAAGCTGAAACAGGCGTTTCTGCCCCGGGCTAGACTGTGAGCACTTTGCGTTTATGTTCGCGTTAGTGTTTTCTTTCTGTTTAGGTTGGGTTTGCGTTAGGGGTTGCGTTTTGATTTGGTTCGTTTTTGTTCTTTCTTTTTTCGTTTTCGTTGTGTTTTTTTCTTTGGGTTTGTGTTTGTATTTGTGTTTGGTTTTGCGTTTGGATTTGGTTTGTTTTCGTTTGCTTTTTCGTTTGTGTTTTTTTCTTTGGGTTTGTGTTTGTGGTTGGTTTTGCGTTTGGATTTGGTTTGTTTTCGTTTGCTTTTTCGTTTGTTTTTTTCTTTGTGTTCGTATGGTGTTTGTGTGTTTGTGGTTGTGTTTGTTGTTAGGTTTTTGTCTTCGTTTGTATTTGTAATTGTGTTAGCGTTATGTTTCCGTTTTGTTGTTTTGGTTTTGGTTGGTTGTGGTTTGGGTGGGCAATGCCGGGTTTATGATGATTACTAAACACACAGGTAATGGTCTTTAACAGAAACAAAATGTGCATAATAGTGTGCAATATTATTAGTACTTTATAAATTTACATGCGTTTTTTGATAAATCGGGTTTTGAGAAATTAACCCCCCCCCCCCCTCCAACTCATGAACTGTGTCTCGGCTTTTATTTTTCTATAGTGTATATAGAGAAAAATCGCACCCTCCCGGGGCGCCGCCCTTGCGAAATTAAAAAAAGATTTTTAATACAGAAACCTCACCTGAAGTTTTTTAATCAACTCCCCAAAGTTTAATAACGATCGGATGAACGGTGTCGAACCGCAATCGACTTTTAATTTAATATACCGTATCATATAGAGAAAAATCGCACCCTCTCGGGGCGACGCCCTTGCGAAATTAAAAAAGATGTGTTTTTTTTACAGAAACCTTACGCGATGCCTCTGAGGTAGTGTAATCGGGGGCTCCATGGAGCGCCGCTATACGTCACTGACACATGGGCGGTCACCGAAGTATGTTCTACCTCATTGTTTCTGTGAGTAACTAACGTACACTCAAGGTTTTTATGCGGTAGTGTAGGTAAACTATTGTCCCGATATTTATGATCCAAGCGCAGGCATTGTTTACATTTAAATAACTCAGTTTTTAGAAAACAAGGTCAAGTGTCTAAGAATATATGATTGAAAACGCATTGATGAAGCCCTTTTTATATATTTCGACAGACTTTCTTCTATTCCCGCGGCAACGCGCGGGGACGGGTACGCTAGTTATTAAATATTTTGCGGACTGTCGCACACATTCGTATATATATGCCTGTTTATTGGTCTTTTATGCATTACTAAATCTTTCATCTGATCGACATGAAACTTAGGAAAGTTGTTGAGAATATTCCTGGGGAGGTTCCTGGGAAGAAAAAAAAACAATTTCAATTTAGCATGGGCGGCAGCCGGGTGGTGTGCAATGTGGTGCCCCGGACTATCCCATGAGGGCTATGGTGCCTACGTTCGTTTAAAACAGTGCGTTAGGCTATGGATAAGATGGGGCGTTATAGTCACTCACTAAATTAGATCAAGCACGTTAGCCGTCGCCCCGGCAGGGTGCGATTTGGCGCCGAGGGCTATCCCCTGAGCGCTATGTCGCATAAGTTCGTTTTTAAAGAGTGTGATAAAGTATGGATAAGAAGTAGTATTATAGTCGTTCACTAAATTGAATCAGGCGCGTCCGACCGCGCCCGGTCAATCCTCGGAGTTTGTTCTAGCCCCCGCGGCAAAGCTTGGGGACGGGCACGCTTGTTTGTATGTGTGTGTATATATATATAAGTAGTATATAAGGTCCCCTTTGGTTATCATTTTTGGCGGAGGGTGAGTTTCTGTGTTGGGTGTAAGTATATATCCCCGTAATCAAGGGGAGATGAGTCTGGGGTATGAGAGAGTGTTTGTACAGCGGACGACAGGTGGAACCTTTATTGAACCCCTTGATGAGACTCCACCAGCACCCAACCCAGCTCCTGTCAGGGACAGTGACCTCATGTTTCATGATGAGAAGGAAAGAATCCAAACATTTTCGGGGTGTTGGTCCGACGTCTACCCTGTGGATCCTGCCAGTTTGGCTAAAAATGGTTTTGTTTTCATTGGACCCGGCGACCCTGTCAAGTGTGTTTTCTGTTTGAATACGTTGAGGGGCTGGGAAACGGGGGATGTGGTAGAAGAGGAACATCGACGCTATTATCCAGACTGTCCTTTTGTACGGGATGCACATTCACACACACACACACTCACAGGAGTTGTTTTAAGTAAATAAAATTTTATATACATTTAAATGCTCTTTTGTGCTTTATTGTGATATCTGATTAAAAGGTGTGACAACTTTCCCATCCAACTTTGAAACTGTTGAAAACAAAATCTGTCCCACTCTAGTATAAACTCTACCCCCATCAATTCCAAAACATACATGTACCAACTTTGAAACCTGCCTCGGTGAAAGCAAAACTCCCCCGACTCTAGTATAAACTCTAACCCCATCAATTCCAAAACATACATGTACCAACTTTGAAACCTGCCTCGGTGAAAACAAAACTCTTCGACGTTGAAACCTGCGTTGTTGAAAACAAAACCCTGTCCCACTCTAGTATAAACTCTGCCTCCACCAATTCCAAAACATGCATGTACCAACTTTGAAACCTCCCTAGGTGAAAACAAAAACAGCACCACTCTAGTAATTACTTTTACAGCTGCGTGAGGAAGGAAAAAGAAATTTGGTTTAGAACTAACCCTACCGCGGTGGAGAGAGACAAGCCTGTGGGAATGGTAAAGCCATTACTTTACCCGACAAAGAGATTCTACGGCCATAAAACACTTCAGCCTCGCATTCCAGAGAACCGACCCACGTACCAATGCACCCTGTGAACCCACACCTGTCGGCCATAAATCAACCTGGGCTGGGGAAAAAGCCATTAATCACTGCGCGGCACCTGTCAAACGCCCAACGGGCGAAACCGGCGAGCGAGTCAAAGCTATTTGATGTGTTGATTGATGTGTCCCAGGTGTAGTTAATGGTTGGTGGAAACCCCGACACAAAGAAAAACCTATTTTTGTCTAAATTAGCATTTGTCTACTGGCTTATTTTAAACAAAAACAAATAAACAAAAAACAAACAATCAAATTAAATTTAAAAATTAAAAATTTAAATGTAAAAATTTAAAAACTAAAAATTTAAATTTAAAAATTATAAATAAATTAAAAATTAAACAAAAATTTAAAAATTTAAATTAAAAAATTAAAAAAATTAAAAAAAATTACAATTTAAAAAATTAAAAATAAATAAATAAAAATTAAAATAAATTAAAAATTAAACAAAAATTTAAAAATAAATAAAAATTCAAAAACAAAATAATTAAAAACAAACAAATTATAAACAAAATAATTAAATTCAAACTAATTAAAATCAAATTAATTAAAATCAAACAAATTATAAACAAAATAAAAAAATTAAACTAATTAAAAACAACAAACAAATTAAAAACTCATTAAAAACAAACTCATTAAAATAAAAAAATAATGGTGATTACGTAACTAGGTCACCGGTGGTGATTACGTCACAAGGTCACCCCTCACCTGACCTACTCCCCCTTCACCCTCCGCCACCTCCTGCGCCAACGCTAGTTGGCGTAGTATTTTACTATATCTCATTGTACCTCCGTCACCACCACCTGCTCCGCCAGTTGGCATAGTATTTTACTATATCTCGTTGTAGCTCCGGCTCCACCACCACCTGCTCCGCCAGTCCTATATAACCTTTGCGCCTCACCCTCCGCCAAAAATGATAACCAAAGCGGACCTTATATACTACTTATATAAATATATATATATATATATATATACATATATGTCTGTGTGTGTCTGTCTTTTATGCATTACTATGCCGCCTAAGTTCGTTTTGAAGAGCGCGATTGTCTATGGATACAGTGGGCTACTAAAGTCGCTCACTAAATCGAATCATGCGCGTCCTCTGTGTCCCGCGGGGTGCTATTTTGGTTCTCCAGGCTTTTCCGTGAGCGCTATGGTCCATACGTTCGTTTTAAAAAGTGTGATATAATATGGATAAGAAGTAGTATTACAGTTGTTCACTAAACTGAATCAGACGCGTTCGACCACGTCATGGTAGTGTGCGATTTGCCCGGGCTATCCTGGGTTGTTTTTTTTTTACCCCGTGGCAACGCGCGGGGATGGGGACGCAAGTAGTTAAATAATATTGACCACATGGTTAGGACAGTTTTTTAAACGACATCAGCTGGAAAATTAGGACTCAGGACTGGCCTCTTTTTGTGTTAGAAACAATAAAAACAGAGGACATTAATGGTAAAGCAAAGTGTGAACACGTTTTATTTTTTCTTTAATTGGACATCTCAAGTTTTTAATAGAATTATGCCATATATTATATGTTTACATACATTTTCAAATAATTTTCAGTAACAAAATAACAATAACAAGAGAAATAATAAAAACATTAAGGATGAACCATAAATATTTCTTAACACAGTTATAAAACTTCCAAATAAAATTTAATTTAAATTGTCAGCATCATTAACATTTGTTATACGAGAAAAATGGCCCGTTGAGGAAGGATACAACGGGCGCTAGGTTGATAGTGCTGTCTATTTTCTCTAAACTAAAACCAACCCCCCCCCCCCCCACACACACACACCTTAAAACATGTCTACCGTCCCATTCAACGAAATATAATTATATACTTTTTCCAGTGTCCGCCCCTTTCCCGAAAATTCTACCCCCGCCCCCGAAAATTTCAAGTACCCCCACCCCTCTCCGGGGAGGAAAAAGTCTGAAAGAAACACTGGTCGCATTAGTAGATCACACAAACTAAAGGAAGAACCTGGTAGGGGCTAAACACTTTCTTTAGATTAGAAAAAGTTCCTCCCCCCGGGGAGGAAAGAGTCTGAAAGAAACACTGGTGTCGCGCTTAGCCACTACCCGAAGAATTGCATGAAAGAAACTCTGCACGCAAACTACTTTTTAGATTAGACACATTAATTAGGCTGTAATTTTATTATAGAGTATCGATGACGACATTTCTTTTGAGTTTGGGGGGGGGGGGGGTCGGCTTAGACGTTATTACGCGGGGGATGGGCTTCGCTCCTACCCAAAGAATTGTATGAAAGAAACTCTTCACGCAAACCACTTTTAAGATTAGACAAAATTGGCTTTTTAATTCAATGGTTACTCGATAATCAATGACGTCATATAAGTGTGTGCACTCTCCGGCTGTAGACTAATTTCTACTATATGCTCCAATGTGACGTCATGTTTCGTTTCCGTTTTACGGTGAAAGTTTTTAATTTGCTTGTGTTTTCTCTATAGCGTTCTTGTCAGATAGATACACATATAGATAGATAGATAGATAGATAGATAGATAGATAGATAGATAGATAGATAGATAGATAGATAGATAGATAGATAGATAGACAGCGAAATTATTAGTATTGATAATTATATTGATGCTTTTAACATCATATTTTTATCTTATTAATAATAATATATTTGAAAATGCACAATCCATTCAATACAGTATTTTAGTTTCTGAACATCTTGTAAGAAAAACAAGACACTGTAACCAGCCTTATGATCATATGGTTTAGTTAGTTCAGATTTAATTTCACTACTTGTCTTCAAAATCTGGCCAAGCCAATAAGATGTATTTAAAAGTTACATTTATTAACTGCTTAAATAAAATAAGTTACAAACAAAATTGTTCTATCATCTTAAACTGAACAAAGGTTTTTACCACAGAATGTCTCATATATATAAAGTAACGACAGTTGCAGATTCATTCAAAGTATATCTACTACCTCTTATTTCACTACATTGGTGGAGGTGGCGGAGGTGGTGGTGGTGGAGGAGGAGGGGGTGGTCCTCCAGCTGGAGGGGGAGGTCCTGTAGTTGAAGATATTTCATCAGGAGGCTGAGTTGATGGAGTTACCACCCCTGTAGCAAACACAGTAGCAGCTTTTAAAATTATGTGGAACATACACAGTAGCAGCTTTTAAAATTATGTGGAACATACACAGTAGCAGGTTTTAAAAATATGTGGAACATACACAGTAGCAGGTTTTAAAAATATGTGGAACATACACAGAAGTAGCTTTTAAAATTATGTGGAACAAACATAATAGACTCAATAGATGCTTTTGAAATAACACATTTAGAAGGATACTTCTTTTTTTTCATTCAAGATTAGGGTTGCCTCTGAGTGTTACAAAATGAATAATGAGCTTCCTTTAGGATACAAAATTTGATAAAAATATACAAAGTGAACAAGCTTATCCATATATAAAATTAATTTGAGGATAAAAATCAGCAAAATAAATTTAAGCATATAGACCTAGGGTTAGGGTTACATGCCATTAAAGTTAAATGGCAGCTTATAAATATCATCACCAAGCAACTAGCTATTTTATTTCCCATTGATAGCAGCAGCCTTTTAATAGTATTTGGTTTTTACTATTACCAAATGTCATATTTAGTATAATATATTGTTACAAAAAAAGCTAGGGTTAAGATTTGATAATAACTACAAAGAAATTAAAAATTGATTTAGGAACATTTAATAAACAAGAACTAACTAAGTCTATTTACACCTGTTAGTAATGACAGATATATTCTGATTGTTAAAGGTTCTAATGGTTGAAAATACTTTCTTGCAAATTACTTTCACAGGAAGTAGCTTTAATTTACCAACACATTTTCTTAACAATGTCTATGTGCAAATTCTTTTCACTTAATTTTTCTATAACGAACGTGCAGTCTAATAAAATAATTGCATTAAAAAAGTTACTTTTAATTCTTTAGATTTTGTATAATTTTTATGGTTAGTGATATTACAAAATAACAATTATTACATTAATTGAATAAAAATAATCATGAGACTGATTCTTTAGAACTAGACTGGGATTCACTCTATTCTATTCAACTCCTTTAAAAATTAGGAGTTAAAAAGCCCAAACCAGTCCAGACCCAGATCAGACCCAGATTACAACAGCTATATGGTTCCTAATTCACAACCATCTATTGTTATGCTTGTAAAAAGCAGTAGTTTTTACTTTGAAATGCTTACATTTCTGAGTGTAAAAAAAAATATTAAAAAGGGATACCTACCTCACGTTGCTGGAGGATGGTTTTTAAAATAAAAGGGGAGATAAGGTTAGATTAAGAAATATTTGTGGGAGGTCAAAGATTAAGTAAAGCTGAGTTTAATTAAAATAAATAGATGTTCAGCTTTATGATGTATGCTGCTATTTTGTACACTAGGGGTGGTGAAAGTACAAAAAATGTATGACTAGAAGAAAAAATCAGATCAAAAACAGGGAAGAACTATTACAATTGGTTTATTAATTGATGGGGGTTTAATAAAATGTTTTACATTTAAATGGTTGGTTTGTTTTTATAAAAAAAGGAAATGATTGTTGATGAATTCATCAATTAAATTCAAAATTAATATAAATCTTGGGAGGGTAATAAAAAAACCTTGGCATAAAGTTTAATAAATGCAAATTTTAAAATAAATTACCTGTAGTTTGTTGAGCAGACAGTCCATCTGTTTAAAAAAAAAACATTTTTTTTTTACTTTATTTACTAGTTATAATCTTATCAAAATAAAAGGTATAAACTATATGTTAACAGTTCTGGTTTGAATTTAGACTGACTATGTACATAAGTTATCATGTTTTTTCAAAATAATTATGTTTGTGTACATGTGTATCTCTCTCTCTCTCTCTCTCTCTCTCTATCTATCTATATATATATATATATATATATATAAAATGCATACCCATGCTAAACCAAACACAAACACTAACACAAGCCAAAACCAAACACAGCACAACACGCAAACACAAACTCCATTTTGCTGCAGTGCTAGCAGCAAAAATTCAATGTTTTTAAAGAATATATATTTTTTACATGAGTTTAAAGACCATAAGATCTAGGCCCCGATCGATTGAGTAAACACATCTCATAGTAAGCCTTCATCAGTATTTTGTATTAAAAGTTAAGACGTAGATCAAGTGGGTTTTTTCCACCAAAAATGTAGAAATAAAACTCAAAATAACCATGTTAAAATTTAATTAGATATTTCAATAAAAGCAGTTGTTGAATATGCTTGTGCTGTCTTGCGTTGTAGGCCTCAAAGTCAGCACAACCATGAATCAAATAGTCTAGGTCGACACAAAAACTTTCAGCCTTTTTTAAAGTTCAGAGATCAGTAAAAATAGTTGCTGTAAAGAACCACGTTTGTAAAATTATATATAAGGCGCGTCCAAGCGGTCGTACATAAATGACATCATGTTAACAAGCCAAATTTTACCCCAATCCATATTGGCTAGACAGCCACACAACAAATGTCATCAAAAAGTTCGGTCTACAGCCTCACCCATCTCTACGATTACCTGCAACTTCTAACTAGCCTTATGAAATTATGAAAAATTGTTAGGTAAAGTTGAGAGGTGCACAATGTTCATACCTGATCACACTTTCAATAAATAATTTTATATATATTATTATAGCTGTAGCACATTCACACGGCTACAGTAAGTTTACACGCTGTAGACTAACTATTACACATCCCTGATTGACATAGGCTAGTTAGTGAGTGAACAGAATTCTTCTGTAAAACCAGCAAAACAGTCATAAAGCAGGAGGGGACGATGGGACCATTCAAATATGGGTAGCAAACAGAAAAATTGATCAACTGAAAAGATTTCCTATGTTTTTTCAAAAAAGGTCGGTTGGCCAAAAAATATCTTTTCTTTTTAGCAGGAACTTTTTCTCAGATGGAAAAAGTGGACTTCCAGAAAAAAAGGGGCAAGACAAATAGTATCATGGATAAATGGTCTCATAAAAAAAATGTCTCAAATAATATCTTTCACAGAATTTTTTTTTATAGTATTAAGGGTGATTTTAGTTGATTGAACATTTCATTTTGGTTGGTATGTTTTTACTCCTTTTTTAAAAAACACAATTCTTGTGAGATATACTAAAATGAATAAGATAAATCTTACATTATTTTTAAAAAGCATTTGATTTGAAAATGTAACAATTAAACGCAAAGTGAATCATTTTACATAAAATGTATGAGACTTGAATTGTCTAAAACTAATAAAATGATGGGAGTTATACCAAGTCAATGTTCCAAACATATTAAATATTTGTAAAAAGATTATTGGGTATCCAGGTTGATAACATAAAACCAATGTTTTTATTACAGCATCAACATAAACATTACACTAACGTTCTGTGCTGGCTGTTGTCTAGCATCAATCTGACTTTTTAAAAGTGCAGATACCTTTCTGCAATGTAACAAAATCAGCACTAATACTGCTCTGTTTACATGCACACTATGTATAACTTTGCTCCACTGTGGCCACTGTCATTTAAACAAGCAATTGTCACCTCATCACTCAGATGTGATAGAAATATAACTAGTGACTTAAGATGATAGTTCTATTGTCCTAGGAAAGGATAGCCTAGTAATTGGCAAGCCCACCTACACCGCCTATCAAAAGTTAGTTTTAATCATCCAAAATTATATTACGAATAACAATTTGAAAATTTTAATGTAACGTGACAAACCTATGCGACAAACCTTTTCTCAAAATTATAAGACTATCAATAAAAATTTACAAACTGACTGAAATCATCTTAAATATTATTTAAGATATTATAAAGATATTTTGTCTGAGTTCATTGTCTATGAGATAATTTGCCCATGAAATACTTGTCAGCATATTAAGCCTGTGTGTCTGTCTTTTATGCATGACTACAACCTTCATCTGAGTGCAAACCCCAGCAGCTTCTGTCATTTAAACATTTTAATATTGTAAGGGTGGCGCCCACATGACAGTTGGTACGAGGGGTCAAGGCTAGTACTTCAGTCAAAGGGTGGCGCCCACATGACAGTTGGTATGAGGGGTCAAGGCTAGTACTTCAGCCAAAGGGTGGCGCCCACATGACAGTTGGTACGAGGGGTCAAGGCTAGTACTTCAGCCAAAGGGTGGCGCCCACATGACAGTTGGTACGAGGGGTCAAGGCTAGTACTTCAGCCAAAGGGTGGCGCCCACATGACAGTTGGTACGAGGGGTCAAGGCTAGTACTTCAGCCAAAGGGTGGCGCCCACATGACAGTTGGTACGAGGGGTCAAGGCTAGTACTTCAGCCAAAGGGTGGCGCCCACATGACAGTTGGTACGAGGGGTCAAGGCTAGTACTTCAGCCAAAGGGTGGCGCCCACATGACAGTTGGTATGAGGGGTCAAGGCTAGTACTTCAGCCAAAGGGTGGCGCCCACATGACAGTTGGTATGAGGGGTCAAGGCTAGTACTTCAGCCAAAGGGTGGCGCCCACATGACAGTTGGTATGAGGGATCAAGGCTAGTACTTCAGCCAAAGGGTGGCGCCCACATGACAGTTGGTATGAGGGATCAAGGCTAGTACTTCTGCCAAAGCTCAAACTGCACCAGGGAGTTCTTCTGCAATTGTGTGACCCGGTCTAAGTAAAAAACGTGTTTATGTTCAGTGGATGAATGATTTTGTAATTAAAAACATATATAAATGAGTTAAGAAATCTACAAAATGAAGGAAAACCCCCTGAGCTAAGGTCACACACCTTTTGTTCCATTGTCCTGTTTCTCTTCTTCGGCTGTCAAATCTGCCCTAAAAAAGATTCTGGCACTGCTCAATGAATAGAATAATAACTCATATTCCTGTAAAAAGAAAATTTTGGGAAATTTTTTTCTATATGCTACAATAATACAGTAGTATTGCTTGTAAATCACAGAGAAAAGACAATTTATAAAACTAGTTTCAAAACTTAATTTTCAGTTAATACACACAATAAAAAGAAATTTGAAAAGACATAATTATAAAATAATTAACTCTGAACAAATATACACTGTAAAATAAAACTAAAAATCTCTATAATCACAAGGGATTATATGAGCTAAAAATAAGAAAATAAAACTAGCTAGCTTTACTTTCTTTTAATATCAGTCAAATGTTGGGTTTCTATAATTTGTTCACTTTCAAAAAGCAAACAATATTTAAAGAAAGGATCTGGAAGTTAATGAGCCACTATGGAATACCCAAAAAATTTATATCTATCACACAGAAACTATATGAAGACTCCACCAGTCAGTTAATACACAAGGGAAAGCTAACAAAACCATTCACGGTGACGACGGGAGTGAGACAGGGATGTATGCTATCGCCAATGATATTCTTGATGGTAATCGACTGGATCATGCTGAGGGCCACAAAAAACGACACAGGAACCCAGTGGAGTTTTACAAAAAGGTTGGAGGATCTTGATTTTGCCGATGACATCTGCCTACTATCTCATAAGCATCAACACACGCAAGCCAAACTAAATCGGCTGTCTGAAGAAGCCTCCAAAATTGGACTAAAAATCAATAAAAACAAAACAGAGGTCATCAGAATCAATAACAGCCAGGACCTGCCCATACAGCTAAATGGAGAAGATTTACGAAAAACAAACACATTCACATATCTGGGAAGCGTGATCAATAAGGACGGGGGAGCAGACGAGGACATAAAATGCTGTATCAACAAGGCTAGATGTGCCTTCAACTCGCTGCGCCCGATGTGGAGGTCCACGGCCCTGCCACTCCGGAGCAAAATTGGGATTTTCAACACAAATGTTAAGGCAGTGCTACTCTATGGCTCGGAGACCTGGAGGGTTACGAAGACAAATACTGATAGGCTACAGGCGTTCGTAAACAAATGCCTACGACATATACTCAAAATAAGATGGCCAGACAAAATATCAAACAAAGACCTGTGGCAAATTTTAAAGCAACAGCCAATAGAGAAAGATATTAAGGCCAGAAAATGGGGATGGATCGGACACACGTTAAGAAAAGAAAAAGAAAACATTGCAAAACATGCATTGGACTGGAATCCCCAGGGGAAAAGGAGGGTCGGCTGGCCAAAGAAAACATGGAAGAGAACGGTTGAGGAAGAGGCAAAAACAGCTGGGCTCTCATGGGCACAGATTAGAGGAGCAGCCCAAAACCGAGTCCGCTGGAGATGTGTGGTTGCAGCCCTTTGCCCCCCAGGGGCCATAAAGGAGTGATGATGATGATGATATTAAGAAAGGAGTGTTTGCTTTATTTTACTTCTTTCAGGGCTTTTATAAATTCCTTATTAAAACATTTTTTAAACCACAGAAGATGATACACATAATACAAGGGACATAACAATCACTAACAAGACATAATGTAACAGCCTAAGCCAGCCGATACCCCACACTATTAAAAGTAGCTCACATTAAATTAAATTCTAAATGAGTTTTCTTCTCCTAATAAGTATCGCTATCAGTGTCAGTTCTCAGATTTGTAAACAACAACTGCTATAGCAATCTTAATTTTAAATTAACTTATAATCACAAAACTTTCAAATAATTAGATTGAAAATGTGATTTGTCATCAGAGATGTACTTAGATCTATTTGGCATCTTTTGAAGGAATTACTAAATCAAGTTACAAGATCTGACCCCAAACCTTAAGATGAATGTTTTGACCTAAGAAAATTTTAAAAGATTTTTCTTTGACATATGCTATAAATTTTTAAAATGTCAACATTTAATTCTGAAAAAAAAAACTATACTTTTAAAATGAATTCTTGATGAAACTTGCCTGAAGGTACTGCTCTAGTCTTTTGACAGTTAGTGATGTAGTTTGTTGAAGTTTTTCATCATTCCTGTTGCCTGACTGTTTTAATACTTCATTCTAAAATTGAATGTATCATGTATTAGAACATTAAAAATGTATAAGGTGTCAAACATTTTACACCCAAACTGACACCCAAATTAACAATGATCTTTTCACTTTAATTTATAACTGTTAGAGTTAAAGGCTTTTTTTAAATTATGTCAAGACTCTTACAACAGTTTTTACTGATTTGCTATGCATGATTTGTAATATATTTAATGGGCTATTTTTCTATTCCTATTTAAAATGAAGTTTGCCAATATGTATGTTTAGACAGTTAACAAATCTGGGGCTACTGGTCTTCTACTTCTTCTTCGTTCTTAATTTAAGTGTTGGAAGGGATTTCCTCCAACACAATTAAGTATACATGCCATTGAGGCCATTGACTCTGATTTCAGCCTGTTTTCTTTTTGGATTTGCTTACATAGCCTTTGTTCAACCAAGAACAAACTAAAAGGCAGCAGTTGTTTGATTTTGGAGTTCCTAGAAGAGTGGTTGTCCCCAGCTAAGAGCCTCATCTGCTCAAAGGGTCGAACTCTAGACATTTTGGTTTAGCAACCATCAGCTTTACCGACTCGACCACCTGACCCTTAATGGTGATGTGTTGGACTTATGTTTATTATTTTACTTTTAAATTAATATATACTTTTAATTTTGGTTCATCATTTATTAAAGGTGTATACTTGACTGTAAAGGCGAGGCCAATATCCAAGTAGTTTTAGAAAATAATTTCTATAAAATACAGCAATCAAATAAAAGGGAAAACTACAAGAAATGAACAATCTAAAAATGGCCACTCTAGAAATATTGTGACCAAAAGAGAGTTCCCCTTCCAAACCTGACGGTCTGTGGGGCAAGTGAAGTAGAGCAGCTGTTTCTGTGACCTCGGCATATGAAGGGATAGTGTTTTCAGCACTATGCCCAGCCGCCTTTACTTTCACTAATGTGAGTTAGGTACCCATCAGAACTAGGTGGACTCAGGGACGGTCTACTGACTTGAAACCAGATTCAAACTCCAGACTGCCTGGTTAGCAGTCTAGCTCTCTATCACAAGGCCACTCCATCCCTTATTGTGACCAAGGTAGGGGATTGAACACTTAGATTTGGCAAAACAACTGAATAAAAAGAGAAAATATAATTGCTGGTCAGAAGAATGGTTAGAGTATGGGCCCAGCTGGGAGCGTTGTTATAGTCTTAAAAGGTTACCTTGTCTTTGGTGAGTTTGACTCGAACAGATTGAAACCAATGTAGAGAATCAAATTCATAATACTGATCCAGCAGTTTGAGTATGTAGGCCACACCTGTAAGAAAGTACAATATGGTAATAGATGTCTTTTTAAAAATTTCTAACGTGTCTGTTTTCAACTTTGCAACACATTTCTGATTAAAATATTGCAACCTACTTTGGTTAATATACAGTATAACCAATTCATGTTTATAGAAAATTGGGTTAACTAAAAGCTCAAGATAGCTCTCATTCAGGGAATAAAGAAAAACAAAGCCTCAACTAACCCATCGCAAACCCATCATCAGTAAAAGCTGCTCCAACTTTGTTTTTTCTGTTCATTTTCTCTTTACAACTGATAGAATGTTCTACAAAATTGATGGTCTAGGAAAAAAATGGCACAACATCATAACAAGAAGAGTGAAAATTATTAACAAGTTTACACATGAATAGGTCAAGCAACTGAAACTTGTGTTTCAGTATATAACGGTTACCTAAGTGAATCAATCAACACTAACCTAAGTAAATCAACACTAACCTAAGTAAATCAACACTAACTTAAGTAAATCAACACTAACCTAAGTAAATCAACACTAACCTAAGTAAATCAACACTAACCTAAGTAAATCAACACTAACCTAAGAGAATCAACACTAACCTAAGTAAATCAATACTAACCTAAGAGAATCAACACTAACCTAAGTGAATCAATCAACACTAATTTTAGTAAATCAATTAACACTAAATCAACACTAACCTAAGTAAATCAATCAACACTAACCTAAGCAAATTAATCAACACTAAATCAACACTAACCTAAGTGAATCAATCAACACTAAATCAACACTAACCTAAGTAAATCAATCAACACTAACCTAAGTAAGTCAATCAACACTAACCTAAGTAAATCAATCAACACTAAATCAACACTAACCTAAGTGAATCAACACTAACCTAAGTAAATGAACACTAACCTTAGTAAATCAATCAACACTAACCTAAGTAAATCAATCAACACTAACCTAAGTAAATCAATCAACACTAACCTAAGTAAATCAATCAACACTAACCTAAGTAAATCAATCAACACTAACCTAAGTAAATCAATCAACACTAACCTAAGTAAATCAACACTAACTTAAGTAAATCAACACTAACCTAAGTAAATCAACACTAACCTAAGTAAATCAACACTAACCTAAGTAAATCAATCAACACTAACCTAAGTAAATCAACACTAACCTAAGTAAATCAATCAACACTAACCTAAGTAAATCAATCAACACTAACCTAAGTAAATGAACACTAATCTAAGTAAATGAACACTAACCTTAGTAAATAAATCAATCAACACTAACCTAAGTAAATCAATCAAAACTAACCTAAGTAAATCAACACTAACCTAAGTAAATCAACACTAGCCTAAGTAAATCAATCAACACTAACCTAAGTAAGTACATGAAAGAAAAGTTAGTCAACTTAACCTAAAGTAAACTGACAAACACTAACCTAGGTAACTAAACTTAATTACTTAACCTAAAGTAAACTGACAAACACTAACCTAGGTAACTAAACTTAATTACTTAACCTAAAGTAAACTGACAAACACTAACCTAGGTAACTAAACTTAATTACTTAACATAAAGATAAACTGACAAACACTAACCTAGGTAACTAAACTTAATTACTTAAACTAAAGTAAATTGATAAACACTAAGTAACTCAACTTACTAATGGTGGCAAGATGACAAAAAAATTCCTCAAATGCATGTTTTTTGGATTACGAAACTCAGGTGCAAAAACATCCACCAACATCTGTCATGTGTATAAATGATAAAATCATGAATTAGTCACAAACATCTTTCAACTGCAGCTCAATTGAACATGTTTTTTTTTTGTTTGGAAACTTTCATTTTCTGAAACTGGTGATTAATCCAAGATTAATAGTTGATAGCCAAATGTTTTGGAACAGGGTTTGCAAAAAGTTAGGTGTAGCTACTAAATTGTGTATTAAGTTACTGATAATTAATTTCATATTTGTAACTTGAATGAAAAAACTGTAGTCTATTATTTCTAATTGCAGTTTTTAGTGAATAAGATTATTTTTTCGGGTGTAAAATAAAAGAAATAAATCCAGGTAACTTGAAGCCTTCAAATTTGTAATGAAGGACCCAGCAGCCCTCTAGTTCTGCCACTAGCTATTACCAACTCTCTTACAGCTGATGTAATAATAGCAGTGTCAAACAAATGTAACCATTAACCCTTTGAGCCTGCCAGGCCGGTAAACCGGCTTCAACATTAGGCATATATGTCCGAAAAGCCGGTTTTCCGGCCCGTTGATCTAGCTTCATATTCCTAGCGGCCGGTATACCGTCTTATTTAATATAATTAGCGTAAGACTGACTAAAACTGCGCATATGTCTTTTTATTGTGGGATTATGATTCTAAAAATAGATTTTAGGAAAAGTGAAAGTGTTTACATTTCGTAGCAATGCCGCCGAAACGAAAAGCTGAGCCACAGCCATCGACTTCACCACATAAAGTTGGTGCAAAAGATGAAGCAAAAGACCGAAATATCAACAAAAGAAGTAGAATGACTGCATCTCAGGCAATACAACTACTTATCGATTCTGATGAAGAAAGATAATATTCCTGGTCTATATTGTGATGATAGTGACGTTTAATTTGAGACTGAACACAGTGACATTGAAATTGACAGTGACAATGAAACTGTTCAAGTACATTCTGATGCACGTGGTGCTATAAAACTTAAGTCTCCTTGGCGTGTTGATAATAACTATGTGTTCTTTGTATATACATTGTTCTGTTCATACATCGTAAAAAAAAAATAAAGAATTTCAGAATCTTGCTGCATTGTTGTGTGATCCTGAGTCTGGATATCAAATGTGGTTTGATTATCTCAAACGGTTCAAAAGTTATAGGCAAAGTTAGAAGCAGATAAGTGAAAATTGGTTTGGGCCTGGGAGCTCAGGAAATGGGAGAAATTAGGCCAGGGAGGCCAGGGCTCAAAGGGTTAAAGCTATTTTATTTTAGAACCAACAAGTAGGGAATTAGTTGACTTTACCTTGAAATATTCAGTACCCTCTGCAAAGTTCTTGGCAAGATTATTTATTACATTATCCAAGTTTCTGGAAAGGAATAAAGATTATTTATTAGATTATCCAAGTTTCTGGAAAGGAATAAAGATTATTTATTAGATTATCCAAGTTTCTGGAAAGGAATAAAGATTATTTATTACATTATTCAAGTTTCTAGAATGGAAACTTGATTATTTATTACATTATCTAAAATTTCTAGAGAGGAATAAAACCTGAAACTAAAATTAGATTTTATTTTTTGGAAATTTTTATATTGTTAATTGTGTAGCAGAAACAAATACAACATTTTTGTGAATGATCTGTGCACAGCTGAAAGCACTTACTTGGCTGCAGCTTGGGTTTCAAGGGAAAGATTTTCCTCTCTGCAGGCATCTTCAAAGCTGACAATATCTTCAAGGTCAGGTATAAAACGGATGGCATTGCTGCAACAATGAAGGCCTCCCGATCGGATCATTCGTATGTAACCCATAGCATTACCTAACAACAGCAAAATCCTTAGCTTTACTTGCCTGAGATATTGTTTGTTCGTTATTTTTTCCTTAAAGAACACTAATATTGCAACACTAAAATTAACGTAATTTAAAACTATAATTTTGCTAATCTTTTTTATACCAATCTGTATGACCAATGAAATAAAAACGTACCAATCTGTGTGACTAATGAAATAAAAACGTACCAATCTGTGTGACCAATGAAATAAAAACGTACCAATCTGTATGACCAATGAAATAAAAACGTACCAATCTGAGTGACCAATGAAATAAAAACGTACCAATCTGTGTGACCAATGAAATAAAAACGTACCAATCTGTGTGACCAATATTCTAAACTGATCCAGGTAACTGTCACCATCAGGTGTTAGGCCCAGCTTTCGGATTCCTTTGTTAAACTTGTCTCCTCTTTCAAATGGATACTGATATAGAGGTCAAAGATAAGATCAACACACAAGGAAAACAGTTGAATTTTCCTTCATTAATACAGGCTGATGGTAGCAATGAACAACATTTCTAGTGAAGAACTATAGTCAGAGTTGTACTCAGAGGTGTAGCCATAGGTGTAACCAGTACCTCTTGCATGTAATCAAAGGATATTACATCAAGCCCCCCCCCCCCTCTTGTGACAAGTATGAAGGGCTCAAGCTACTTATACATATGGGGCCTACTATATTTGTTTTTGGTATATAGAACAAAAAAACACAATTTTTGTTTTGTTTCACCCAGTGAGTGAAAATGTTTGCTTTGTTTTAAATTTTCAGATCAGTGCACATCCTATCACTCAGCTGATTCCAACACATCCTATCACTCAGCTGATTCGAACACATCCTATCACTCAGCTGATTCCAACACATCCTATCACTCAGCTGATTCCAACACATCCTATCACTCAGCTGATTCCAACACATCCTATCACTCAGCTGATTCCAACACATCCTATCACTCAGCTGATTCCAACACATCCTATCACTCAGCTGATTCCAACACATCCTATCACTCAGCTGATTCCAACACATCCTATCACTCAGCTGATTCCAACACATCCTATCACTCAGCTGATTCCAACACATCCTATCACTCAGCTGATTCCAACACATCCTATCACTCAGCTGATTCTATATCACTCAGCTGATTCCAACACATCCTATCACTCAGCTGATTCCAACACATCTTATCACTCAGCAGATTCCAACACATCCTATCACTCAGCTGATTCCAACACATCCTATCACTCAGCTGATTCTATATCACTCAGCTGATTCCAACACATCCTATCACTCAGCTGATTCCAATACATCTTATCACTCAGCAGATTCCAACACATCCTATCACTCAGCTGATTCCAACACATCCTATCACTCAGCTGATTCCAACACATCCTATCACTCAGCTGATTCAATCACATCCTATCACTCAGCTGATTCCAACACATCCTATCACTCAGCTGATTCCAACACATCCTATCACTCAGCTGATTCCAACACATCCTATCACTCAGCTGATTCCAACACATCCTATCACTCAGCTGATTCCAACACATCCTATCACTCAGCTGATTCCAACACATCCTATCACTCAGCTGATTCCAACACATCCTATCACTCAGCAGATTCCAACACATCCTATCACTCAGCTGATTCCAACACATCCTATCACTCAGCTGATTCCAACACATCCTATCACTCAGCTGATTCCAACACATCCTATCACTCAGCTGATTCCAACAGATCCTAGCACTCAGCTGATTCCAACACATCCTATCACTCAGCTGATTCCAACACATCCTATCACTCAGCTGATTCTATATCACTCAGCTGATTCCAACACATCCTATCACTCAGCTGATTCCAACACATCCTATCACTCAGCTGATTCCAACACATCATATCACTCAGCCTATTCCAACACATCTTATCACTCAGCAGATTCCAACACATCCTATCACTCAGCTGATTCTATATCACTCAGCCTATTCCAACACATCTTATCACTCAGCTGATTCCAACACATCCTATCACTCAGCTGATTCCAACACATCCTATCACTCAGCTGATTCCAACACATCCTATCACTCAGCTGATTCCAACACATCCTATCACTCAGCTGATTCCAACACATCCTATCACTCAGCTGATTCCAACACATCCTATCACTCAGCTGATTCCAACACATCCTATCACTCAGCTGATTCCAACACATCCTATCACTCAGCTGATTCCAACACATCCTATCACTCAGCTGATTCCAACACATCCTATCACTCAGCTGATTCCAACACATCCTATCACTCAGCTGATTCCAACACATCCTATCACTCAGCTGATTCCAACACATCCTATCACTCAGCTGATTCCAACACATCCTATCACTCAGCTGATTCCAACACATCCTATCACTCAGCTGATTCTATATCACTCAGCTGATTATATATCTAGTGTGATCAGTCCCCAGACACACAGTTAAACTTGCTACATATTTACTATACATGGCTAAATAAAAATTCCCAACAAATAAATATACATGTTCCATGTGAGAAATGTTTTCATATAAAACTAACTTGATGTGGTTTTTTTCTGGACATGTATAGTATTCATATTTCAAGTGTAAACACAGTGTTATAATATAAATTACACTAACCTTAAATGTATATATATATATTGAATACTCACCATTTGATCTGTTTCCATATGATTCTCTCTAAAAAACTTCCAATCTTTAATTAGTCTTGACTTAATGTGCTCATCATACATAAACTGAGAGAAAATGTAAAACTTCTTGCGCAAAAACTGGAAAGTGAAATTGACCTGAAAATTTTAAACAAATTTAATTTTCATCAATTTTTAGTCAATAATCTTTATTCCATGCTTTCCATACAACATGCATAAAGGTTAGGAGAAGCAACCTTTGAGTAAATATCAACACTTGCCAGACAATTAAATATGTAATCACCTAATGAAACCAAAGACACAACCTAATGGAACCTAAAACACAACCTAATGCAACCTAACACACAACCTAATGGAACCTAACACAACCTAATGGAACCTAACACACAACCTAATGGAACCTAAGAAACTAACTGATGAAACAATAGAGAGAACTAACCGTGGTATTCATGATTCCAATTCCATGGGTTCTGATGGAGTTGGCTATGTGTCTTATGTTGATTGTATTCAGGTGTTTGTTATTGCTTGTTCTCTCAACAAAGATCTGAAACAGACTTTACAATTAACCTTTTTTTGTATGTATAAACTAGGAGACATTTCAAACAGAAAGAAAAATGTGATGATGTGTCATGAGATGTTATTACAGTTAAATGAAGTAAGAACATTAGGTCAGAATGACATAGAAAAATCACTTGTCATTGAACCATTCAGAAGTTAAGGTTGAATGGGATGCTTTAGAAAAATGCAGTATTTATGTCTAAAAGAAAAATGCTATATTAATATCTAAAATAAAAATGCACTATTTAAGTCTATATGAAAAGTGCAATACTTAAGTCTTTAAGAAAGGTATCATATTTAGAGTTATAGGAAAAGTACACTTTGTCTCAATACCTGATTGTTCAAGTTGTACAAAAATTTGGCAACAAACACATGAATGTTTCTCATGATCTCCAAAACATCTAAGCCCTGCAACAATTAGTTGAATTTTTCATTAAACACTGGTATTAAATGTTGGTATTTTAAAAACTCTACTCACAAATTTGGCTTTGTTTAATACAGCTCTGTGTTTTTAGTGCTAACACTGCCTTCAAATGTTGATGTAGCTTTGCAGGCAAAAATATATTTAACTCAAACAAAAACAATATCAATACAACATGCTGATTTCAAACTAATGATAACTGATGAAGTAATCCCTGCTCCTGTATTGGGGTATGAAAACTAATAATCAAGTAACCCCTGCTCCTATACTGGGGTATGAAAACTAATAATCAAGTAACACCTGCTCCTGTGTTGCGGTATGAAAACTAATAATCAAGTAACCCCTGCTCCTATACTGGGGTATGAAAACTAATAATCAAGTAACCCCTGCTCCTGTATTGGGGTATGAAAACTAATGAAGTAACACCTGCTCCTATACTGGGGTATGGAAACTAATAAGCAAGTAACACCTGCTCCTGTGTTGGGGTATGAAAACTAATGATGAAGTAACACCTGCTCCTATACTGAGGTATGAAAACTAATAATCAAGTAACACCTGCTCCTGTATTGGGGTATGAAAACTAATGATGAAGTAACACCTGCTCCTATACTGGGGTATGAAAACTAATAATCAAGTAACACCTGCTCCTGTATTGGGGTATGAAAACTAATGATGAAGTAACACCTGCTCCTATACTGGGGTATGAAAACTAATAATCAAGTAACCCCTGCTCCTGTATTGGGGTATGAAAACTAATGATGAAGTAACAACCTAACCTGCTCCAGAGTTTGGCTTGGGAGGTGAGACTCCATCAAAGAAAGACCATATTTTTGTTCAGCCATGTTTTTCATTTCTCCATAGGTTTTCCAATCATGCAGGGCCACAGTGGTCAAATTGTAGAAAGTTTTGTTCAGATAGTGGGACACATGACCTGAATTACAGAAAAAAAAAGTTCAAAGTACAGGGCATTTTACCATCACCTGTAAGCCTGTAGCTTTATAACATTACCTGTAAGCCTGTAGCTTTATAACATCACCTGTAAGCCTGTAGCTTTATAACATCACCTGTAAGCCTGTAGCTTTATAACATCACCTGTAAGCCTGTAGCTTTATAACATCACCTGTAAGCCTTTAGCTTTATAACATCACCTGTAAGCCTGTAGCTTTATAACATCACCTGTAAGCCTTTAGCTTTATACCATCACCTGTAAGCCTGTAGCTTTATAACATCACCTGTAAGCCTTTAGCTTTATAACATCACCTGTAAGCCTGTAGCTTTATAACATCACCTGTAAGCCTTTAGCTTTATAACATCACCTGTAAGCCTGTAGCTTTATAACATCACCTGTAAGCCTGTAGCTTTATAACATCACCTGTAAGCCTTTAGCTTTATAACATCACCTGTAAGCCTGTAGCTTTATAACATCACCTGTAAGCCTTTAGCTTTATAACATCACCTGTAAGCCTGTAGTTTTTTACCATCACCTGTAAACCTGTAGGTTTTTAACATCACCTGTAAGCCTGTAGTTTTTTACCATCACCTGTAAACCTGTAGGTTTTTACCATCACCTGTAAGCCTGTAGTTTTTTACCATCACCTGTAGCTTTATACTGGATCTGCTACCTCCATGAGTGTTACTTGACAGTGTAGCCTTAAAGTTTATAAACTCCAACAAACTTTTCATATCAATAGTCCTTTTGAAAACTACAATTTACTTTTATATCAATTGCCTCATTAAAAACTACAAGAAACTTACTTTTCATATCAATAGTCCTATTGAAAACTACAATTTATTTTTATATCAATTGCCTCATTAAAAACTACAACAAACTTACTTTTCATATCAATAGTCCTATTGAAAACTACAATTTACTTTTATATCAATTGCCTCATTGAAAACTACAACAAACTTACTTTTCATATCAATAGTCCTATTGAAAAAGCGAATGGGCTTGACCTGGAGCAGATGAGAGAGGTCACGGAGACCAACTTTGAAAGGGTTACGGTCATCCAGTTGCAAGTGAAGATGGATATGTAGCCGCAGGTCAGTCTCAATAGATCTACACAATGGCTCCAACAAATGCTGGATGATAAAACAAATGTTGGATAATAAAACAAATGTTGGATAATAAAACAAATGCTGGATGATAAAACAAATGCTGGATGATAAAACAAATGCTGGATAATAAAACAAATGTTGGATGACAAAACAAATGCTGGATAATAAAACAAATGCTGGATGATAAAACAAATGCTGGATAATAAAACAAATGCTGGATGATAAAACAAATGCTGGATGATAAAACAAATGCTGGATGATAAAACAAATGCTGGATGATAAAACAAATGCTGGATGATAAAACAAATGCTGGATGATAAAACAAATGCTGGATGATAAAACAAATGCTGGATGATAAAACAAATGCTGGATGATAAAACAAATGTTGGATGACAAAACAAATGCTGGATGATAAAACAAATGCTGGATGATAAAACAAATGCTGGATGATAAAACAAATGCTGGATGATAAAACAAATGCTGGATGATAAAACAAATGCTGGATGATAAAACAAATGCTGGTTGATAAAAATTCAATTGAAATGTCAATTTTATAAGCCATGCTACTTACCTCATTTACGTTCCTCATAATTTCTCTATCAAAAGCTTCAAGAAGTTTTTCACTTGATTCAAGATGGCGTGCAACTTTCATTTGAGATACACAGTCTCTAAGTGCAGCAAACATGTACTGAAAGAATAAAGTTTAACTTAACTATTTGCTGGTTCAACCAAGAGTAAGGTTTAATTTAACTATTTCAACGAATACAAAGGTTTTTAGGCTTTTATGTCATCTCTATCAAACTTACATGTATTCTATGAGTGTCAGTCACATTTTCACACAAATCATCCAGATATAATGGGAAGATGACACGATGCCAGTAGATGAAACTACAGTCACAAGCCTCTCGGATCCTGAAATAGGTTTTTTAATAATCCTGCTTTATAAATCTTATTCATATTGGTTCATTCTTTTAATATTCACATTTCATTTGTTCATAAGGATGAGAGCTAAAGTTCCTAAAGGTAGAATGATTTGATATTGGACAAAATAAAAAACCAAGGACATTGAAAAAATTTTATCCAACCAAATGTATGCCATTTGTTTCACATTCAAACATTTTTAAGTCTCTAGCAATAAAAAAAAGGAATACTTGGGCCTGAGTTCACTGATCAAATCAAGCCTTCGAATTGTGTCATCCAGACTCTGAAACTCATCCTCCTTGAATGCTTTCTGTGGAGACAATTGTTTGCATTTCAATGTCTGCAACTAATTAGGCGGTGTGTAAAACTTATTTAAATTTGTGTAAAACTGATTAAGATATGTGTAAAAATAATAAAGATCAGTGCAGCCTTGGTGCTGACCCAACCCATTCAGCCGTTACAACCCCCCCCCCCCCCAATGGACACCTCTGTAAAAAATTTGTTACTGTCATAGTACCACTGTTACTTATTTAAATCTATTTCTGAATCAGTATATATGTATAATAGTATATGTATGTTTAGAACAGCCATCTAACTGACGCTATGTTCACTCTGAGTTCGTTTCGTACCCCCACCCCCACCCCCCTAAAATGGGACAGGCCTTAGTTGTGTAGAGCATCATTAATGTCACACCTAGGTATACGCTGGGTTGGATAATTGACCTAAAGTGACCAGACAGTGGTGAATTAAGTTGAACCTCCCCCCCCACCCCCCCCCCCCCCCCCACCCCAACGGATCTGTTAAGTACATTTGGGAAAATGCGTAACGAGGTACCAAAGTACCATGCCGCCAGAATCATAGCTTTTGAAACAGGTAAAACTCTGTAAATATTTTTTTTGCAATTACCAGTAAAGAGGTGTGTGATCAATACATTGATCTAACCCATACATTATCATTATGTAAATAAACCGGGAGTGATCTCCCCTAAACTTTCTCGAATATTTTTATATAACTCGGAATACAGACATGATTTTTAATTACTTAAAATTTAAAAAAATAGAATAGAATCTCGTAGAAAAAAGAATTGCGCACCAAGCAAACGCCAAAAGAAAATGTGCATAATAGTGCGCAATATTATTATTACTTTTTAAATTTGCATGCGTTTTTTGAGAAATCGGAAATAGCGTAAATTACTACTTCCGGTCAACAGAAATTACTCAAAATTTGACAGAAGGTAGAGAATTATATCTTTTACTTACATGTGAAATTTCATTTATCTATCTGAAATAGTACTCAAGTTATAGGCTTTTGAAAAATTCAAAGTAGAAAAAGTACCACTTCCGGTTATCGGAAATCGCTCAAAAGTTGATACGGATCTACGATTTCGATAAAAAACTTATATATGAAATTTCATCAACCTAGCTCTAACGGTACTCAAGTAATCGTGTTTACACACAGACAGACACACACACACACAGACACACGGACAAGATTGCAAAATTATGTTTTTCCGTATCAGTGAGGTGTAAAACGTCGAGATTTGTAAAAATCTCGATTATTTTTTTTTGCACGATTACAATACTTTCTCTATACTTCGTATATACGAGAAAGTAAAAGTGATCTTTAAAGAACACAAAAACAGTAGCTAATTAAAAATTGAATGATCTTAACTGCAAGACCAATATTTTAGACATATGTTGGCTATTATTCAGAATGTTCCACCTATTAGATTTAGTTTATGTATTAGATTGAAAAGCGTGTTTTTATACCAACTCTGATTGCAAAAACTTTCATTATGCTGTAATATTTTAGTATTTATGATGACAATATATTTAATTCTGATTGTATAGATATATATATTGTATATATATATATATATATATATATATATATATATATATATATATATATATATATATATATATATATATATATATATATATATATATATATATTATATATATATATATTTATATTTATATATATATTTATATTTATATATATATATATATTGTATATATATATATATTGTATATATATATATTTTTGTAAAAACGAATAGTGTAAAGCAACTATATTACATACTAAAGTAATTATTGATCTGTTTTGACATTTATAATTAAATTTGTAGAATTACACATATGTATTGTGACGGTAAAACCATCTCGTGCAACCACCTCCCCCCTTCTTCCTTTCTTCCCACCCCCCTCCCCCCATTTGGCTACATGTCAGAGTGTGTGCGCAGGAAGTGCGACACGAGAACCCATGAACGATGTTACAGGGTTGAGACACGGAGCTCCGGGCAGATCGGCTCCTACCTGGTTAACCCTACCAGAAGTTTATCATTGTAAAAGGATTGATGACATCTTTCCACGTACTCTTCATAGAGAAACCTATGTGCTAAAGCGGAGACTTTAACAGACCAGACTGGATATCAGATTCAGCAATAAGTATATCATTGTTTCATTGTTTATACATTAACATTTGTTCCATGTATGCTTCATGGCGACACTTACATGTTAAAGCGGAGACTTTAGCGAACCAGCCTACACCTACATGCTAAAGTGGAGACGTTAAGAAACCAGAGACGAGAAACCTGTGAGTTGGAGTTGAGAGGTGTTGTGCTGAGGCGGCGGAGAACCAACATTGTGTCAACAACTGCGGCCTGTATCGGGACCACTCAAGACCTGTATCGGGCCCACTCAAGCCCTGTATCGGGACCACTCAAGACCTGTATCGGGACCACTCAAGACCTGTATCGGGACCACTCAAGACCTGTATCGGGACCACTCAAGCCCCGCGAAGAGACTGCTGTGTACAATCTCTGTTTGTAAACTGAACAATGTGTTTTTCTAGTTGATAATAAATTTTCACGTTGTACCCGTAGGAATAATAAAGTTTTTTTTTCGGTATTATCTACCGCTGACATGTATATTCAGAGAGTGATTATTTCCACTAGTTAGCTTGTCTTAATTAATATTCTAGAAATCATTATGTCAAATTGTTTTTTTATAAGGATTACAAAATAAATTGTCTTGCGTTCATTTTTGTTTGTTTAGAGTGATAAATTGTTTTGTTTTGTCGGCCTACATTGTGCGTTTTTTCTTATTTCTTCACAGTAATACTTTCAATCTATTTTACATCGTAGCGAAGCAATGATATACAGCTAGTATACATATATATATATATATATATATATATATATATATATATATATATATATATATACTAGCTGCATACCCATGCTCACCCACGATAAATCTTTTTTAAATGTACCAACTTGGGAACAGAGCAAAACTAAATACAGCACAAACACAACAAAAACACAAAAGAAAACACAACACGGAAGAAAACACAAACATAACACAAACACAAAAGAAAACACAATACAAACAAACACAATGCAAACACAAACGAAAACAAACGCAACACACAAACACAAAAGAAAAAACAAATGCCAATAAAAACACAAATGAAAACACAAACACAATGCAAACACAAATGCAAATACTTTAAATTTTAAAAATTTATCATAAGAGATTTGCACCTAATGAACACGATGACGCGTGGATAATAGTGTGGAATAGTTGATTAAAAATTATAATTAATAAACAGTTCAGTGAATAAAATAAATAAAAGATTGCCTTTTATCAATCTATGCTAATTATAATATTCCAACAATTAAGTCCTTTTACACGTCTTCAGAATTTGCATTCACATTTTGCTAATTATATTATTCCAACAATAATTCTCTTTTGGACTTCCGCAGATTTTGCATTCATATATTTTATTATTAGTGTGAGTTGGATTATTTTTAAATTAACTCCCCTGGCTTAACTATTAAATATTTTAATTGATTAGTTTTTTCGACCCTATTGTTATTAAAATGTTTCTACTTTTTCTAGGAATCTAAACGAATATTATATATATCAGTTTAATATGTTTTAGCAATGTGCGTGTATTTAATATTTTCTTCACGTTATGTGATAGAGTGAAAAATTGTAGCAATTATAAAATAAATTTAAGTTCTTATATAAATAAACCCCACTCTATTACTTACAATAAGACAATGCGATGCAATGTAAGAGCACTGCATGGTGCGATGTTTACTTCTATGGTTCTTTATGGTTCTTAAATCTATAGCGATGACGGAAGGACTGACACACTACCAGCAGCATTATATTATAGAAATATAATATAGATATATATATATGTTGGAAAAAATTTGAACACCCCCCCCCCCCCCATAAGACGATCTTGGCTACACCACTGAATGACATATTGAAATATTTTAATCTGTCAAGTTTAAAACTACATCATGACTTTAGAACATGGGTCGGCAACCTTTTGAGACGAAAGAACCAAAAGTTACAATTTACAACATTAACCGGTTTTTAAAGAGCCACTAACTTTTTTATGTCAATAGTATATTTGTTTAGTATTATATATATATATATATATATATATATATTATATATATATATATATATATATATATATATATATATATATATATATATATATGTATGTATATATATATATATATATATATATAAAATATCCTAAACAAATATCATACTATATACATATAATTTAAAAATAAATAGCTTTGAATATATGAAATAATCTCATTAGAATTTGTGTTGAGAGGATCTACCATGAAAGTCAGAGTACTTGCATTTGTTTTGAATAGCTCAAATCTCTCAGTGAAAACATCCTTCCTTTTATTTATAGTAATGCTGAAGTGATTGAATAGTAGCATTGGTTTCTTAACGATATTTTTTTCAGATTTTTCGTAATTAAGTAATTTACGGCTCACCTTGTATTGAAAAAAAAAAGCAAGACATACACTGGGTTTTCCTTTCAGTTTTACACTTAGCTGGATTAGTTTCTATGAACTTGAATGTTTCAATTCGGAATGGACAATGTAATAGGAAGTACACTGAGATAGGGAGTAACTAAATATTCTAATATAATAGTGAATGTTTATTGTTTATATCTATTGTTATATCGTTTATTACCGGGTGATGCAGACTAATATTTTAATGAGTTTTGAAGATAAAATAAAATGATTATTAATATTTGTGCATGGAGCTAAGGAGCTGCAACTGGACACCAAAAGAGCCGCATGCGGCTCGCGAGCTGCAGGTTGCCGACCCCTGCTTTAGAACTACAACTGTTAGGCATAGTGTGTCAGGAAATTGTATTGAAATATGTTTATGAACTGTATTTAAATAAAATTAGCTTAGAGGGATAGGGTGGGGGTTATGTTATGAGTTATGTTTACAAGAATAGTTAGGTTAAGGTGGAATGATCGGTGGTGTAGAGAAATTGAATGTAAGTAAGTCTGACATTTACGAAATTTGGTGAGGTTTGATGTAGAAAATGATAGTGAAGCAGTTGGATCTAGGCTTGTGATGTGAGAGGGTATCGGTGTCTCTCTATGACTATTCTAATTGTCTACTGAGTTGATGACAGTTGAAGTGTAAATCAACCTGTCAAGTATTCTGTCAAGTTGATTCAACCCTGATCATGACTAAATCACAGTATATGGTAGTGGAACCCTCACAGTATTTGGTAGTGGAACCCTCACAGTATTTGGTAGTGGAACCCTAACAGTATTTGGTAGTGGAACCCTCACAGTATTTGGTAGTGGAACCCTCACAGTATTTGGTAGTGGAACCCTCACAGTATTTGGTAGTGGAACCCTCACAGTATTTGGTAGTGGAACCCTCACAGTATTTGGTAGTGGAACCCTCACTGTATTTGGTAGTGTAACCCTCACAGTATTTGGTAGTGGAACCCTCACAGTATTTGGTAGTGGAACCCTCACAGTATTTGGTAGTGGAACCCTCACAGTATTTGGTAGTGGAACCCTCACAGTATTTGGAAGTGGAACCCTCACAGTATTTGGTAGTGGAACCCTCACAGTATTTGGTAGTGGAACCCTCACAGTATTTGGTAGTGGAACCCTCACTGTATTTGGTAGTGGAACCCTCACAGTATTTGGTAGTGGAACCTTCACAGTATTTGGTAGTGGAACCCTCACAGTATTTGGTAGTGGAACCATCACAGTATTTGGTAGTGGAACCCTCACAGTATTTGGTAGTGGAACCCTCTAAAGAATTTATTGTCCAAACTATTTATCATCTTTCTTTAAACCCTAACCATAAAGTTTTTATAGTCCAAACTAAATATTTACCAATTTTGTTCCAACTGCCATTGCTAGTTTAACAATCAGACGTCTTTCTTTACTGCCTAAAGAATAAAAAAAATATTTATCACATTTCTTTTTTCTTAAAAGCATAAAAACTAAACATTTATCATCTTTCTTTACTTTCTAAAGCATCAGAAATACATAATTATCACATGTTTAGGATGAAAATTACCTGGTCCATTGAAAGCAGATTCTGCCAGTACAAGTGCAGACAACACATCCAGCCTTTGCTCACTGTATTTCTTATCAGACATGATACGTTTCTGTATAAAATATCAGACATGATACGTTTCTGTATAAAATATCAGACATGATACGTATCTGTATAAAATATCAGACAAACATTTCTGTATAAAATATCAGACATGATACGTATCTGTATAAAATATCAGACATGATACGTATCTGTATAAAATATCAGACATACATTTCTGTATAAAATATCAGACATGAGAAGTATCTGTATAAAATATCAGACATACGTTTCTGTATAAATATCAGACATATGTTTCTGTATAAAATAGACATGATACGTTTCTGTATAAAATATCAGACATGATACGTTACTGTATCAAATATCAGACATATGTTTCTGTATAAAATATCAGACATGATACGTTTCTGTATAAAATATCAGACATGATACGTTTCTGTATAAAATATCAGACATACGTTTCCGTATAAAATATCAGACATGATACGTTTCTGTATAAAATATCAGACATATGTTTCTGTATAAAATATCAGACGTGATACTTCTCTGTATAAAATTTCAAACATATCGTTCTATGTAAAATATCAGACATGATACGTTTCTGTATAAAATATCAGACATGATGCATTTCTGTATAAAATATCAGACATACGTTTCTGTGTAAAATAACAGACATGATGCATTTCTGTATAAAATATCAGACATACGTTTCTGTATAAAATATCAGACATACGCTTCTGTATAAAATATCAGACATGATAAGTATCTGTATAAAATATCAGACATGATGCATTTCTGTATAAAATATCAGACATACGTTTCTGTGCAAAATATCAGACATGATACGTTTCTGTATAAAATATCAGACATGATGCGTTTCTGTATAAAATATCAGACATACGTTTCTGTGTAAAATAACAGACATGATACGTTTCTGTATAAAATATCAGACATGATACGTTTCTGTGTACAATAACAGACATGATACGTTTCTGTATAAAATATCAGACATACGTTTCTGTATAAAATATCAGACATACGTTTCTGTATAAAATATCAGACATATGTTTCTGTATAAAATATCAGACATACGTTTCTGTGTAAAATAACAGACATGATACGTTTCTGTATAAAATAACAGACATGATACGTTTCTGTATAAAATATCAGACATACGTTTCTGTATAAAATATCAGACATGATACGTTTCTGTATAAAATATCAGACATGATACGTTTCTGTATAAAATATCAGACATGATACGTTTCCGTATCAACCATGTATTTTTAGAAGTGTGTGTGAAATTTTTAAAACTGAGGTGCCTGTAAATGCACCTGGCACCTGTAAATGCACCTGGCACCTGTAAATGCACCTGGCACCTGTAAATGCACCTGGTACAGTTTGACCTAACGCTGACCACTGTGCAGGACAACCAATCAATGGATCACAGGTGCTGTTAGCTGCTGGGGAACTCTGGGCACATATGTGCATACTACTGCCTGTGCATCGCACCTCCAAAAAAATGTTAATGAAGGAGACCTTAAAGGTGTATTCTCAAAAATTCCAGAAGTTTGATGCTGATCAGATGCTATGTGTAGTTATGCATAAAAGACAAACACACACACCTTCACTTGTATACAGGGAGTGGTTTAAAATGGATGGAGATGATCAAATGGTAAAAGTAGACTTTAGGAAGCAAAATTTATGGTGAGAAGAAAACTGTATGGACATAAAAAAAATGCGAGTTTGACATTATTTCACTCAAGTTTATCTGAGAGGTGATAATTAAACAAGTAATAGATGGACATTATAATTAAACAAGTAATAGATGGACATTATAATTAAACAAGTAATAGATGGACATTATAATTAAACAAGTTATAGATGGACATTATAATTAAACAAGTTATAGATGGACATTATAATTACAAGTTATAGATGGACATTATAATTAAACAAGTAATAGATGGACATTATAATTAAACAAGTAATAGATGGACATTATAATTAAACAAGTAATAGATGGACATTATAATTAAACAAGTAATAGATGGACATTATAATTAAACAAGTAATAGATGGACATTATAATTAAACAAGTAATAGATGGACATTATAATTAAACAAGTAATAGATGGACATTATAATTAAACAAGTAATAGATGGACATTATAATTAAACAAGTAATAGATGGACATTATAATTAAACAAGTAATAGATGGACATTATAATTAAACAAGTAATAGATGGACATTATAATTAAACAAGTAATAGATGGACATTATAATTAAACAAGTAATAGATGGACATTATAATTAAACAAGTAATAGATGGACATTATAATTAAACAAGTAATAGATGGACATTATAATTAAACAAGTAATAGATGGACATTATAATTAAACAAGTAATAGATGGACATTATAATTAAACAAGTAATAGATGGACACAATAATTATAATAACTCAACATGCAATGATACAACATTTAAAGATGATTAAACACATTTTTGTTAAGAATGTGATATGTGAAATGTATTGATATGTGTGATAATTTGGCATGTTGAGCATTACCTTGGCTGTGCCAATTGCACTAAGAGCCTTGAAGCTAAGATACTGGATAATGTGATTGATAGATTCTGTCACAAGCATAGTCCTCCGATGAAATGTGTATTCAATAGACTAGGATAAATACAAGTATAACAAACATGTATTCTATAGACTTAGGTATATATAAGTATAATAACAGTGTATTCAACAAAGAATGATTGAAATATGAGTGTGAATGCTATATAAATATGCTAAAATAGATTTTTAAAAATAATATAGTCATTTCAATACTAAAATAAAATTTGAGTAGTCTTTTTTTAATAAAACTTATAATTCATTTAGCTGTTTAAAATAAAAACAAGTACAATTACAATTTTGGACTTGTCGGTCCATATGGCATATGAAGTAACACCTGCTTCTATAGCCACAGCATATGAAGAGATAGCGGGGTCAGCACTATGCCCAGATGTATTTACTTTTCTTATATGAGCGGGGTACCCATCAGAGCTGGGTAGACTCAGGGATGTCCTACAGACTCAAGCCAAGGATCTGAACAATTGAGACTTTCTGATAGGCAGTCATACGCTCTACCATCCAATCATGGCCTCTCAGCTCAGTTTTTAAATATTTTAAATTAAATTACCACAAGATAAGAAACACCCTTTTGAGTAGACTGTCAAATAGCAGATGCAGCAGAGTTCACCTATTTTTGGAACATCTTACACCCATTACTTTTTGCCCTGCACTTCTCATCATTATAGATCTATTAATTTATAATGATACTCTGTGCATTTGATAACATATAACATGTCGCATTTCAGAAAAACTGATCACTGTTTGATTCCCATAACATGACCACTGGCTATAGTCACAAGGGACAACTAAATTTTTGTAGAAAAAAAAGCTTAAGTCATCGGTTAGGTTTGGGGTACAAACAGACAAGTCAATACCTTTAGCAACTCAACAAGTCTACACAATGAAAGAACGGCTGCTTTGGTCATTGGTTTGCTTAAGATGACATGCAGGTTCATCACAGTCCGTATCAGATGACTTATGTTGTACGCATGAAGCAAACCCTGTTAGGGTGAAATGTAAAGTTAGGCTTGTTGTAGTGAGGCTCTATTAGGGTGAAATGTAAAGTTAGGCTTGTTGTAGTGAGGCTCTGTTAGGGTGAAATGTAAAGTTAGGCTTGTTGTAGTGAGGCTCTGTTAGGGTGAAATGTAAAGTTAAGCTTGTTGTAGTGAGGCTCTATTAGGGTGAAATGTAAAGTTAGGCTTGTTGTAGTGAGGCTCTATTAGGGTGAAATGTAAAGTTATGTAAATGTTTTTTTAATTGGACTTGTACCGAGGCTCTGTTAGGGTGAGCTAGCAGATGAGAACCAATGAGAAATGAGATGTGAGACTGTCCTAACTCTAAGAGTCAGGAGTTTGCAATTGGTCAGAGTTAAGCAGCAGTTAGAAAAAGTGGGACAAAGTTAAGTGTTAGAAATCAGTAGAGCAGTGAATTAGTTAGGGGGTTAGAGTTGAGTAGATTGTTTGGTAGTACAACTTAGAATTGTGTTCATATCATACTGCATTAGAAGGGTAGATCCCCTAACCTTACACATATATACATTACAGTGATATTTAAAAAATCATCTACATCACACACAGCTAAAAGACAAAATTGACCTGAATAAAGACAAACATCTAAAAAATAAGACTGACCTGAATAAAGACAATGCATCTGTTATTTAAGTCCTCCATTAGTGTACCTCCTTTTTCAAATGTAGTTTCCATGCGCACCATCCATGCAGCTACTGATGTACTTAAGGTCTGTACATCTCTTGGAAAAAATCAAGAAGTGAACTAACATCAAGCTCTGTTCAAGATTAAGCTAGAATAATCCATTTTAAACACACAAAATACCTTTCTCAAACCAAAATAGAATATGTGAATATCTTTGTGAATACACCCTGAGAAATGCTCACATGCAGTATACAAGCATGACACAAACACATACAATATACAAGCATAAGACACATGCATGGGAAAAAACACATGCAGTATACAAACATGACACACATTCATGCATACAACAATGATGTGGTACTGTGAATGATATTGTGATTGTGTGAATGATGATGTGAAATTGTGAATAATGATGTGGTATTGTGAATGATGATGTGGTATTGTGAATGATTATGTGGTGTTGTGAATGACTTGATGGTATTGTGAATGTTTTTTTAATCACAATTTGTTTTTTAATAATATTAATTCCAAATTCCTACAATTTGAGTATATTATGGTAATGAGGGTGTTAAAATTGTATGATTCAAAAGAAAAAAGTACTAAACATTTTAAGTTAAACTGTTAGCTTAACTAACTCTATTAAGAATGTTCAAGTCTTCTCAATAATTGGAAACAAGCTGTAAGAATACCCTAACCCTAAACTTACCAAGCTGTTAGAATACCCTAACCCTACCAAGCTGTTCAAATACCCTAACTCTACCAAGCTGTTAGAATACCCTAACCCTACCAAGCTGTTAGAATAGCCTAACCCTACCAAGCTGTTAAAATACCCTAACCCAACCAAGCTGTTAGAATAGCCTAACCCTACCAAGCTGTTAAAATACCCTAACCCAACCAAGCTGTTAGAATAGCCTAACCCTACCAAGCTGTTAAAATACCCTAACCCAACCAAGCTGTTAGAATAGCCTAACCCTACCAAGCTGTTAGAATACCCTAACCCAACCAAGCTGTTAGAATAGCCTAACCCTACCAAGCTGTTAAAATACCCTAACCCAACCAAGCTGTTAGAATAGCCTAACCCTACCAAGCTGTTAAAATAGCCTAACCCTACCAAGCTGTTAAAATACCCTAACACAACCAAGCTGTTAGAATAGCCTAACCCTACCAAGCTGTTAAAATACCCTAACCCAACCAAGCTGTTAGAATAGCCTAACCCTACCAAGCTGTTAGAATACCCTAACCCAACCAAGCTGTTAGAATAGCCTAACCCTACCAAGCTGTTAAAATAGCCTAACCCAACCAAGCTGTTAGAATAGCCTAACTCTACCCATCAAGTTCTGACCTGGTTAACATCTGGTTACGAGCAGTGAGCCAAGCCTGACTTTGCTGTGAGGCAGCCTGTACAGCCTTACGTTCTAGAAGTTGACTGGCATTGGGCAACCTTAGAAGGACAAATTCATTGGGAGAAAATACAACATTCCCAATCAGGTGAACACAAGGAATCTGAAAAGAAGAAAAATACTTGTAAAGAGAATATTTAACTCAGTTATATGATCATTTAACCAAATATCTAATCTGTAAAACAGCACGTAAGTAATATATTTGATTAGCATATATATATTTTTATATCAAACCTTGCGATACATATCCCATATCAGCTTGAAAATGCGTTTATCCAAAACACGGAAAATTTGGAAATGAATGATGAATAGCCCAATTGCACCAACATACTTGTATCGATGCTCAGTTTCATTACTTTCACCTAAGATAAAACTAGTAAGTGATCTATTGGCTGCACAATGCATATATTATGTGGTATGTTGGCTGCAAATAACAGAGATATGACCTAACTTTGAAAAAATAGGAAATTATTTGGGAACGAAACTTTAAGTTGCATCATAGTTAAAGCAGTGTCACACTATTATTTATTGTACTTATTAATAGTTTAATAGAGCTAATATTTTAAATACAAGAAGTTACTCTAAATAAAAAAATAAAAAAACTATCTGAAGTAGCCTAGCTGAGCTACATAGTTATTGACTATAATTCAAAATAATGTAGATCCTTGTTTTTTTCTCCCACAAACATGACACAGTTGTAGGGTCATGGTCAGTGCACACCTAATGTCACTCAGTGCACACCTAATGTCACTCAGTGCACACCTAATGTCACTCAGTGCATACCTAATGTCACTCAGTGCATACCTAATGTCACTCAGTGCACACCTAATGTCACTCAGTGCACACCTAATGTCACTCAGTGCACACCTAATGTCACTCAGTGCACACCTAATGTCACTCAGTGCATACCTAATGTCACTCAGTGCACACCTAATGTCACTCAGTGCACACCTAATGTCACTCAGTGCACACCTAATGTCACTCAGTGCATACCTAATGTCACTCAGTGCACACCTAATGTCACTCAGTGCACACCTAATGTCACTCAGTGCATACCTAATGTCACTCAGTGCATACCTAATGTCACTCAGTGCACACCTAATGTCACTCAGTGCACACCTAATGTCACTCAGTGCACACCTAATGTCACTCAGTGCACACCTAATGTCACTCAGTGCATACCTAATGTCACTCAGTGCACACCTAATGTCACTCAGTGCACACCTAATGTCACTCAGTGCACACCTAATGTCACTCAGTGCACACCTAATGTCACTCAGTGCACACCTAATGTCACTCAGTGCACACCTAATGTCACTCAGTGCACACCTAATGTCACTCAGTGCACACCTAATGTCACTCAGTGCACACCTAATGTCACTCAGTGCACACCTAATGTCACTCAGTGCACACCTAATGTCACTCAGTGCACACCTAATGTCACTCAGTGCACACCTAATGTCACTCAGTGCACACCTAATGTCACTCAGTGCACACCTAATGTCACTCAGTGCACAATTAATGTCACTCAGTGCAAACCTAATGTCACTCAGTGCAAACCTAATGTCACTCAGTGCACAATTAATGTCACTCCGTGCAAACCTAATGTCACTCAGTGAACACCTAATGTCACTCAGTGCACACCTAATGTCACTCAGTGCACAATTAATGTCACTCAGTGCAAACCTAATGTCACTCAGTGCAAACCTAATGTCACTCACCAATCCTTGCATCCAGCTCTATCAGCCAGTCCCTTATATTGACAGCAAACTCCTCTGCAAAGATTCCATTCTTTGAAACATTCACTTTCTCATCATCAAACAGCTGCTCCACACAGTTCTATAACATCCAAGTCATAAAATTAGCTCAGTTTCAAGCTACCTATTTTACTATTTAAGATTAACATATAATCAAGTAAATTAACTCTTTCCTAGTGATGTACACAGAACATTTGATTGTATTTTAATCCAAGTAAGAATACAAATGAAAACCACAAAGGATCTCAAACACAAAATCTAATTTTTCTCAAAAGTAGAAAACTGTGACAACTGTGGTTTAGACCCTGTGGCATTAAAATGGTAATATTGTTTTGAAATATGTGTAATAAAGCACGTAGCTCCTATATGAAACACAAGAAAGGAATGCATCAATAGATTTCAATACCTGGAATATCATCCCATCTAGCAGTTTGCCTTCTATCATCATCATTAATTTTTCAAAAGGTCGCACTTTCTCTTGAGCAATACCAAACTTGCTTGGGTCATGATGCACTGACTTGACCATCCTATTTAACATGCACACAACATATGTAGTGTAAGGGTTAGGGTGGCCACCCAACAAACATCCACCATTTACACATGCATCCACCCATCATGTAACTACACACCATTTAATTTACAAATACATCCACCCATCATTTAATTTACAAATACATCCACCCATCATTTAATTTACAAATACATCCACCCATCATTTAACCACACCACCACTGAACCAGCCACCATCCAACCTTTTCTCAACCACACATTCATCACTCATGCATACAATAGTCAGAGTTACATTTTATGAACTTATGGTAAAATGGGCAGGTGGAGTAGCTGTGACCATAGAGGCTCTAATATTAGTTGGGTGTACTACAGAGATGGGTGGACACAGAGAGGTCCCACAGAGATGGCTGGACTCAGGGATGTCCTAAAGATTGGGATCCGGACAAAAGGCCGACAAGACTAAAGGCCGACAAGACAAAAGGCCGACAAACAAAATGCCGACAAACAAAATGCCGACAAACAAAATGCCGACAAGATAAAAGGCTGACATCCAAAAGGCAGACACCTAAAAGGCAGACAAGACAACAGGCCGACAAGTTTTATAAATACAAACTACAATTACAGCCTTGTTTAATATCTAAAATATGTAATTATATACGACTTTTTAAGTTTCTAATAAATATTCTTAGGTACATACAATAGGGTAAAATAAAACACATGATGTAACCAATTATTTGTTGCTGATATATTGGTACATATTTAGGGAAATCATAGGGGTAAGCTTACACAAAAAAATTCCTAAAAAACGTTTTAATAACAAGCTTTTATGTAATGATGCACTAAAAAGTAGAAAATAAATTATACACTACTATTTAAATTACTATAAAGAAAAGCGTGGGTCACTTTAGTACTTTAGTACCTATTGGATACCTTTACTAATATTTGAGAAGAGACCCACGCTTTTCTTTATAGTAATTTAAATAGTAGTGTATAATTTATTTTCTACTTTTTAGTGCATCATTACATAAAAGCTTGTTATTAAAACGTTTTTTATGAATTTTTTTTTCAGTACTTTACATGTATTATTTACAATAGTGTTACATGACTAAAAACCATTGCGCGTCTACTGAAGGTGATGGCGCAGCGATTGAACGTGATGATGCATGTGGTGTGGTTGGATAGACATGCCTATTGATTCGGTCCAAATTTTAATTAATTCATAAAAAATTAATTAGGCATCCAGTTAAGTCAAATTTAGTTTCAGATTGCATTGTCTTCATGTCTTGACCCACGTGCCAAATGTGAATCGTATCGGTCAAGTAGAAGTTTCCGAATTTTCACTCCTTCGTTTCGATCTAGACTGACGACAGACTGTCGACTGACGACAGACAGAGGAAGTGAGTTAAATAAAAGCTTGTAAAAAACAAAAATAACGCACCAATTTTGGCACACTTGTATCATAATCACAACAGAATTTATTTAATCCAACCTATAAAATATACACTTTTTTTCATGCAATTCGCAATGGACGAATGTAGTCTAGTCAAGGCAAACGATTGTCCTACTTCATTCGGTTTCTTTGATTTCTTTGCAAAATATAGTGGTAATTAACGCCACCTGTCTGTTTATTCTTTGTACACTCCTGTCATCTCAAGTGGCATGGACCCCATAGTTCACCTTATAAGGATCGCAACTAGCATTGTCTCTTGGCGTTCCGCCTTGTTGCATGTGGGCGATGATGCCGGCGGCTTTTGACTTGGTTCTTTGATGATTATCTTACCTCGATTATAAAGCTCATGGTTGCTAAACCGAAAAGCCTCGAGTTCGAACCTTCGGGTAGATGAGGCTTGTTAGCTATGGACAGCCACTCTTCTAGGAGAAACAACTCCAAAATTAAACAACTACTGCCTTGTAGTTTGTTCTTGGTTGGACAAAGGCTATGGAAGCAAATCCAAAAAGAAAAACAGGCTGAAATCGGAGTCAATGGCCTGAATGGCGCATAACCAGTTGACACGTATCCTTAATTGTGATGGAGGCGTGGTCAAGTCGGCAAAAAGCTCATGTTTGATAAATACAAAAAGTCTCGAGTTCAAACCCTCTGGCAGATAAGGCTCGATCCCTTCCAACACTAAAAATTAAGAACGAAGAAGAAGATCCTTTGTATTTAAGACACACTCGTAATCTCCAGTCGCTTGACCCGATGGTTCACCTTATAAGGATTGCAACTAGCACCGTCTCTTCTCTTTAACGTTTTACCTTTTTTCATGCCTCATTTTGATGATTGTCAATATAGGAGCTATGCAGTAACACAACTTTTGCGATATTAGTATTTTTTATGCTTGTCGGCCTTATGGTTTGACAGCCTTATGGTCTGTTGGCCTTATGTCCTGTCTGTCTTTTGGCTGTCGGACTTTTGTCTTGTCGGCCTTATGTCATACACCCCTAAAGATTTGAGTCCAAGATCCTTCCTTAGAAGTTGAGCGTACTTCCACCCAGCCTAACCCTTCTACCACCAGCCATCCATACATACAGCAAACATCCAACTACTAAATGCAACACTCACCCATACATTCAGCAATACATAGTTACCACTTATCAAGATATCAAAGCTTCATCCAAAACTCCACCACATACAACTAAGCATGTTGCTTTTATTACTTACCTTTTGTAAAGTGTCCAATGATCTTTAAGTGTTGGATGAAAATCTATGATGTGATCCAAGGTAATGAGAACAGTCAATAAATCTCCCAAATGTTCAAACACTACCTACATCAATCAAAAGAAATCATAAATATCTATACCATTCAAATACATAACATAGGTATGGATAAAAAAGCATATGTGTCTGTGTGTGTGTGTGTGTGTGACAGGTATGACATTTTTTGCCAAGTAGGTACGTGCACGCCCAAATCTAGGGAATTGAGGAGCCTAGATGACAACCACCACCAATGTTTAGACCAGGGGTCTCCAAACTTTTTAGTCCGAGGGCCGCATTAACTGTCAAATTTCAGTTCGGGGGCCAGTTTCTTCCAGGTATGTCTTTGATTTTTCTGGGCAAAGTTCCTCAGCCATCACCAACAAACGATTTTTCCTCAGACAAAAAAATCTCCGCGGGCCGGATGAGAGGACTTCACGGGCCGGATGCGGTTTGGAGACCCCTGGTATAGACCACTGCCACTAATGTTTTGACCAGTGCCACTAATGTCTTGACCAGTGCCACTAATGTCTTGACCACTGCCACTAATGTTTTGACCAGTGCCACTAATGTTTTAACCAGTGCCACTAATGTCTTGACCAGTGCCACTAATGTTTTGACCACTGCCACTAATGTTTTGACCAGTGCCACTAATGTCTTGACCAGTGCCACTAATGTTTTGACCACTGCCACTAATGTTTTGACCAGTGCCACTAATGTTTTGACCAGTGCCACTAATGTCTTGACCAGTGCCACTAATGTTTTGACCACTGCCACTAATGTTTTGACCACTGCCACTAATGTTTTGACCACTGCCACTAATGTTTTGACCACTGCCACTAATGTTTTGACCAGTGCCACTAATGTCTTGACCAGTGCCACTAATGTTTTGACCACTGCCACTAATGTTTTGACCAGTGCCACTAATGTTTTGACCAGTGCCACTAATGTCTTGACCAGTGCCACTAATGTTTTGACCACTGCCACTAATGTTTTGACCACTGCCACTAATGTTTTGACCACTGCCACTAATGTTTTGACCACTGCCACTAATGTTTTGACCACTGCCACTAATGTTTTGACCACTGCCACTAATGTCTTGACCAGTGCCACTAATGTCTTGACCAGTGCCACTAATGTTTTGACCACTGCCACTAATGTTTTGACCAGTGCCACTAATGTCTTGACCAGTGCCACTAATGTCTTGACCAGTGCCACTAATGTTTTGACCACTGCCACTAATGTTTTGACCAGTGCCACTAATGTCTTGACCAGTGCCACTAATGTTTTGACCCGTGCCACTAATGTCTTGACCAGTGCCACTAATGTTTTGACCACTGCCAATAATGTTTTGACCACTGCCACTAATGTCTTGACCAGTGCCACTAATGTTTTGACCACTGCCACTAATGTCTTGACCAACGCAACTAATGTCTTGACCAACGCCAATAATGTTTTGACCACTGCCACTAATGTTTTGACCACTGCCACTAATGTTTAGACCAGTGCCACTAATGTTTTGACCACTGCCACTAATGTTTTGACCACTGCCACTAATGTTTTGACCACTGCCACTAATGTTTTGACCACTGCCACTAATGTTTTGACCAGTGCCACTAATGTCTTGACCAGTGCCACTAATGTCTTGACCAGTGCCACTAATGTTTTGACCACTGCCACTAATGTTTTGACCAGTGCCACTAATGTCTTGACCAGTGCCACTAATGTTTTGACCACTGCCACTAATGTTTTGACCACTGCCACTAATGTTTTGACCAGTGCCACTAATGTTTTGACCACTGCCACTAATGTTTTGACCAGTGCCACTAATGTCTTGACCAGTGCCACTAATGTCTTGACCAGTGCCACTAATGTTTTGACCACTGCCACTAATGTTTTGACCACTGCCACTAATGTCTTGACCAGTGCCACTAATGTTTTGACCACTGCCACTAATGTCTTGACCAGTGCCACTAATGTTTTGACCACTGCCACTAATGTTTTGACCACTGCCACTAATGTTTTGACCACTGCCACTAATGTCTTGACCAGTGCCACTAATGTTTTGACCACTGCCACTAATGTTTTGACCACTGCCACTAATGTTTTGACCACTGCCAATAATGTTTTGACCACTGCCACTAATGTCTTGACCAACGCAACTAATGTCTTGACCAACGCCAATAATGTTTTGACCAACGCCAATAATGTTTTAGACCACTGCCAATAAAGTTTTGACCAGTGACATAATGGAATAGTTTTCACCACTTTCATAACCATATAATTAATGTAATAATTAGAGCTATAACACTTTCATACAATAATAGTAAATGTAATAATTAGAGACATAAAATATGTACACTACGATGAACATAATTGTTCAATACATACTTGAAAATGAACATCTTTAACATCAATCATTTTTGGCCCTGGTCTGAAATAATTAACATTCTAATAAATTCAATTATCAAATTCAATATTTTATAGGAATTACAGAAAATATTGTTAGGAAAGGGAGAATTATGTGGGATTAAGAAATGGAATAACTTACTTGTTTGTATAGAGACAAGAAAGTTGTTTCAAAACAAATTTTGTAACTTCGTAACATCTTGAGACAAAACAGGACAGCTCCTGCATGACAGTCAATACATAGCTTTATATTAGAGACTAACCTAAACAGTCAATACACAGCTTTATATTAGAGACTAACCTAAACAGTCAATACATAGCTTTATATTAGAGACTAGCCTAAACAGTCAATACACAGCTTTATATTAGAGACTAGCCTAAACAGTCAATACACAGCTTTATATTAGAGACTAGCCTAAACAGTCAATACACAGCTTTATATTAGAGACTAGCCTAAACAGTCAATACATAGCTTTATATTAGAGACTAACCTAAACAGTCAATACATAGCTTTATATTAGAGACTAACCTAAACAGTCAATACACAGCTTTATATTAGAGACTAGCCTAAACAGTCAATACACAGCTTTATATTAGAGACTAACCTAAACAGTCAATACACAGCTTTATATTAGAGACTAACCTAAACAGTCAATACACAGCTTTATATTAGAGACTAGCCTAAACAGTCAATACACAGCTTTATATTAGAGACTAGCCTAAACAGTCAATACACAGCTTTATATTAGAGACTAACCTAAACAGTCAATACACAGCTTTATATTAGAGACTAGCCTAAACAGTCAATACATAGCTTTATATTAGAGACTAGCCTAAACAGTCAATACACAGCTTTATATTAGAGACTAGCCTAAACAGTCAATACATAGCTTTATATTAGAGACTAGCCTAAACAGTCAATACACAGCTTTATATTAGAGACTAGCCTAAACAGTCAATACATAGATTTATATTAGAGACTAACCTAAACAGTCAATACACAGCTTTATATTAGAGACTAACCTAAACAGTCAATACATGGTTTATATTAGAGTTAGAGACTAATTCGAACAGCCTCTACACAACTTCCGCAAGGTTACAAGACAATTGAATAGACCTGAAGTCAGACAAAACAACTGCAAAATCCAATTATGGGATTTGAATTATATGATGAAATACGGAAGCAACAAACTAATTCAAGTGTTTATCGCCGCTTTATTCTAAAGAGCTTAAAATTCGACATTTGATTCTACATAGACAGTTATAATCATGGAGCCGAAAAACTATAAATAAAGAAAAAAGAAAACCAAATGATGGAACTTTGAATTGCATTTAAAATGAATCACCTGCAACAACGAAAACATTCTCCCTATTTGAATTTGTGCCTCTCCCTCTTCTAGTCCAGTGTCAGGCTCTACATAGAAGAACAATCTTGAAAATATTACAATCACAAAAATTGGGACTAACTAGACTACATTATAATTTAAAGGGATACACTAAACATGCATTATTATAATCTAATCAGTTTTGTTGTAGAATTTGCTTGATAAAACTAAAAGCAATAAACAATTTTAAAATCACTGCTCAACTTTGTAAAAAAAACTAATAGGTGGATAGGTCTTTTATGGCAGCCATACCAAGGCAACAGCTTAAAAATGTAGGTCAAGTGGCAACCTAAACAAGTGTAATACATAACAAAATGTGCTTACCCCCTTCACCATATAAGAGTAATGCATTATAAAATTTGCTTCTAGCTTCATGTCTCAAGGCATCTATTTCAGCGCAGAGAGCAGCCAGGACAGTCAAAACCTTGTTGAGAATTTTATTGTCTGTACGAATCAACTGAAGTAGAGTTGTCTGTTCATATGGCAGAATCTATACAAAATAACAATTTCACTATTAGTTTTTTTTTAAATACACTACAGTCACTTTTACAAAATAAAAACTGTATCAAGCATTCACCATACATTCAAATAAAATATTGTGATGTTTGATGATTTAATAACAAATTTTCTATAAGAAACTGGTTGAGTCAGTAGAGCTCCTGGTTGGTAAACCAAAAAATTCAGGTTCAAACACTTGTGCAGATGAGGATGGACAGCTGGGGACAGCAACTCTTCTAAAAGTGACAACTCTAAAATCAAACAACTGCTGCCTTGTTGTTTGCTCTCTGTTGGACAAAAACTATGGAAGCAAATCCAAAAAGGAAAGCAGGCTGAAATTGTAGTCAACGGCCTAGATCTATATGGCGCAAAACAAGTTGACACGTATACCTAATTGTGTTGGGTGGGATACCTTCCAACACTAAACGTAAGAACGCAGAAGCAGGAGAATGAAATTCACAAAAAATGCTTTCATTTCATTGGAATATGAATAGGCTACCTGGTTTAAGATCCCAAAAAGATCAAAACTAATACCTAAATATAGAACAGTACTAGCACCTACTGTTGTGACCTCGACAGTACCACTGGTATCAAATGACAGACCAGGACGGACCAGAGGGAAAACCCCACAGGTCAATATGACCTGGACAGACCGGACTGTTAATAGCGCAGGAAGATGACCGTGGTTTGCAGCCACAAGATGCTGACACCTTAGGTTGACCATGGCCTGACCCCCAAGGCCAAGACAGACTATATATGACAGGGGATGGGAAGCCCGGGGACGAATGACTCTAACGACGTGTTGTGTGCATGTGTGTCACTGTACAAATAAACATTTATATATTTATACATGCGGCTTTTGTCTTTGTACACACTCCACACCACCACTCACAACCCTAACCCATAAAAAATATTACCTACACTGAGATCGCATTTATTATAAAACAAAAATAATTACATACACTGAGATCCCATAAAAAATATTACCTACACTGAGATCCCATATAAAATATTACCTACACTGAGATCCCATAAAAAATATTACCTACACTGAGATCCCATATAAAATATTACCTACACTGAGATCCCATAAAAAATATTACCTACACTGAGATCCCATATAAAATATTACCTACACTGAGATCCCATATAAAATATTACCTACACTGAGATCCCATATAACATATTACCTACACTGAGATCCCATAAAAAATATTACCTACACTGAGATCCCATAAAAAATATTACCTACACTGAGATCCCATATAAAATATTACTGTGATGACGCAAGATTACGTCAGACATGTTTAGCAGATATAGGTTAGCAGAAACAGACTATAGGCCTAGTTGGTTGGTTAGAGAGGCCAATGGGCGCACAGGGCTGACCGGTCACGTGGGACGGTCAGCTGACCACTGTTAGGCCGGGAGATGATGATTAGCTAGCGAGGGCAGAAGGTGTTAGGTTGTAGAATGGAGCAGACGTAGTTATGTAGAGAACAGTTAGAATGTAGATAGTGGTAGGATTGGTCATGGAAGGGCGTGTTAGTAGAGTTAGTAATAGTAGTGGTAATAGATATTATTTAACAGGCTAGTTAGATAGAAACTTGATTTTTATAATTTTAATAAAGAACTTTGTATTTGGAACTGAACTGTGTGTTATTGGATTCATTCGTTCCGCCTTCTAAAAATCCCCACCCTCACAACTGGTGCAACTAGAAGAACTTCAAACAAAGATCATTTCGTACCATCACAATTACCTACACTGAGATCCCATATAAAATATTACCTACACTGAGATCCCATAAAAAATATTACCTACACTGAGATCCCATATAAAATATTACCTACACTGAGATCCCATATAAAATATTACCTACACTGAGATCCCATAAAAAATATTACCTACACTGAGATCCCATAAAAAATATTACCTACACTGAGATCCCATATAAAATATTACCTACACTGAGATCCCATATAAAATATTACCTACACTGAGATCCCATATAAAATATTACCTACACTGAGATCCCATATAACATATTACCTACACTGAGATCCCATATAAAATATTACCTACACTGAGATCCCATAAAAAATATTACCTACACTGAGATCCCATATAAAATATTACCTACACTGAGATCCCATATAACATATTACCTACACTGAGATCCCATATAAAATATTACCTACACTGAGATCCCATATAACATATTACCTGCATGGAGATCGGATCAAGTGACATGTCCCACGCATCTCCAATGGTGTCATCAAGAGCATCTTCTATTTCCTTCAACTGAGTTGCATACTCTTCAAGGAAATTTCCGTATTTCTTTAACTGTAGCTCACCAACTATTTCTGCACAGTAGTAAAGAAATGCAAAAGACAAGATTACATTTTTTGTAACTTTTTGAAACAATCGTAATTATATAATTGGACATAATGAAGTAATGAACAATTTATAATCTAAAAACACAAATGAAAATTCTTAACTAATGAACCATAGATAATCTAAACACTAACCAATATCTTAAGTAATGAACACTAGGTTATCAAAGTAATCAATTTTTTAAACTCTAGATGCTCACCTGAGTCCCTAACCCTGACCCAATTTGATAATGGCCCTTCATAAAACCAGAAGATACATTGAAATACTCTCAAAAATGTAATTAACAAAACCAGATATAAAAGAAAATTAAGGGGAGAGAAAAACAGAAAAGGAAACACCATGAACCACAAACCAAACCCCACAACACCCTTACACAACCCCCCCCCCCCTAAACCACACATCCAGAGGCGTATCCAGGTTTTCGCTGTAGGGGAAGCAAAAAGAGCAAAAAAAGGTGCCGATTTTTAACGCATTCTATATACGTGTATTATATATATATATATATATATATATATATATATATATATATATATATATATATATATATATATATATATATATATATATACATGTATTATATATATACGTGTATTATATATATATATATATATATATATATATATATATATATATATATATATATATATATATATATATATATTATTAGCTGTATGTCATTACTTCGCTATGATGTAAAATAAATTGAAAGTAGCACTCTGAAGAAATAAGAAAAAAAAAAACACAATGTAGGCCGACAAAACAATAATAATCATTAAAAAAGTTTTAAAAAACCCACGTTTTCTGATTGAACTAAAAAGTAGAAAATAAATGCTATACATCACAATAATGCAAGCGATCACTCTACTATAAGCGATGAAAAACGTGGGGCACCGAAGTAAAAGTTATATTACTATTGATTAGATAATACTATTGACTTTTATTAGGGAGCTTGTAGAGAGTCAACAGTATTAGAAACTGTAAGAAAATCACGGCGCCCCACGTTTTTCATCGCTTATAGTAGAGTGATCGCTTGCATTATTGTGATGTATAGCATTTATTTTCTACTTTTTAGTTCAATCAGAAAACGTGGGTTTTTTTTTAAACTTTTTTAATGATTGTTATTTTCTACTTTTTAGTCTTTGTCTGTTTGTTTGCATTGAAATCTTGCTATCGATTTTATCTTTTCACTTTTTTTTTGGGTAAACGAAGACAACTCGTAAAAAGACAACTCGTAAAAAACACGTTGTGTGAATACGTTACTGACTAGAACACATAGATTTGAACCCGTGTCGAGTGGGTTAGCAATCGTGTGCCCAACCACTCGACCATATCGTCTCCCCCATACTGGCCACCAGTTGTTACGTTCTGGTTGTTTGTAGACAAACACCGCGTGATAACTACTCAGTAAGCAAAAAGAGGGAGAGTACCGAACCTTGTTTTCATCAAATTACAGTTACTGGGTTATGTCCCTTTTCCCCCCACGTTTTTTGTACAATTATATAGGGGTATAAAATGATCAATAAAATGTTTCCATGGATCAATTTAGTAATAATAACAGTTGAATATTCTATTGTCATCCGAAACAAAGCTTCCCTGAAAATTTCAGCGCGCTAGCTAACTGGGAAGTGCCCGAAATTTCGATCGCAAGATTTGATTGGAAAAACAAACAAACAAACAAACAGAGGCGAAAGCAAGTTAAAGAAAACGTGGGAAAAATTGTATAAAAACAAAAAAAAAAAAATCTACACACACTACAACCAAAAACAATGAACGTAACACAATCTGTTTTGTAATTCTTGTAAACAAATTTCTTACATCATAATTCCTGGGAAATTATTTAAGACAAGTGAAATAGGGGAAATAATCACTCTCTTAATATAAATCTGTATATATCTACACATTTAATTATAAATATCAAAACAAATAAATAATTACTTTAGAATATAATCAAATTGTTTAACACTATTCGTGTTTACAAAATGTTTTTGTCTATAATCATAATTCAATATATTGTCATCATAAATGCTAAAGTATTACAGCATAATTAATGTTTTTAAAATCAAAGTGGGTATAAAACCACGCTTTTCGATATAATAGAAAACATTCGGAATAAAAGCCTACATTTAACTAAATGTCAGTCTTTTAGTTCAGATCATATATTTTAATTAACTACTGCTTCTTTGTGTTCTTTAAAGATCATTTTTTAACATAGTGATAGGTAAGGGTTAGATCACTGTATTGATCACACACCTTTTTACTGGTAATTGCAAAAACAATATTCACAGAGTTTTACGTTTAAAAAGCTATTTTTTTTTTGGCGGCATGGTACTTTGGTACATCACTACGCGTTTTTCTACATGTGCTTAACAGATCAGTTCGGGGTGGGAGGGTGGGTTCAACTTCATTCACCACTGTCCGGTCACTTTAGGTCAATTATCCAACCCAGTGTATACCTAGGTGTGACATTAATGTCGCTCTACACAATTGTGGTGGTGAGGTGTGTGTGTGTGTGTGAGGGGGGGGGGGGGGGGGAGATAACCAACTCAGAGTGAACATAGAGTCAGTTTTTAGATGACTGTTCTAAACATACACATATATATTACACAAATATATATTACAGAAATAGATTTAAATAAGTAGCAGTGGTATTATGACAATATTTTTTTACAGAGGGGTCCATGGGGGAGGGGGGTTGTAACTGTTTCATATAATTTGTAATCGTAATCACTATCGCGCAAACTGTAAGAATACTACTACTTCATAGTGTTGACGTTGTTGACCTTGTCAAAATTTCCCCACCACTACGCAGTTTGCTCATCAGTAAATTTAAATAGAGGTGCCACATCAGTTGTATTTGTTTCTGTATTGTAATTTTTTTAAAAATTAATCACACGATTCAAACTGTATATATAAAGTAATTATGTGTGAAGTTTTATGTATAACATTTTCTAATTCAATTATTCGTAAGCAAATACATTATACAGTTGCCTTAAGCTTAACACCCCTCTTGCCAAGTGGTACTACCCGTAGAGGTTTTTTAAACATTGCAATGCATCGTAATGGTTATTTTTAGAATGGCAAACTGATGCAGCTGTTAATACGTGTTGTAAACGTAGACACTACTAGACTAGTACAATAATGCTTAATTGCTGCATGAAAAGAAATCTTGTGATTTACAAAGATGTGCCGACCAAAAATATTTTTTTAACAAATATCATTGTTTAAAACTTTGAGTTTAAAAAGTTTCCAAAAAGGCGCCACTTTGCTGAAAATGGCCAGAGGGGGAGCGGCCACTCCCCCTGCTCCCCCCCTGCGTACGCTACTGCACACATCCCAATCCTAACCCAATCTTAGCATTGAAATTAGCAAGTCATATGTGTATTTAGTTAACTTAAGTTATAGGCATTTTGATAAAAACCTTAGGGTTAAAGATTAAAGATGGCGTACTAGTAAAATAAGTCAAATAAAGTGCATATATTAACTTATTGTGCAAAGTCATTTTTACTGAAAAAAAATTCCAATGCCATGGTCAGCCTATTATTTCAGCATGCCCTACTAGGTAAATTTTTTCTCCGTGTAGTTACAATTTTTTTTACGTTTTTTAAAATGGGTCCTAAAATGACCCTTTTTAAAAATGGACAGCCATTTTTTCAAAGAATTAATTTAAAAAAGGGCTGTTTCGAGTTCTCGTGAACTAACTACCAGTATCTTGACAACGAATTGGAAAACGACGTTTTCATGAAAATAATGACCCTAGAGGAATGGCTTTTGAAGATTATTAAATAAAAAACTGTGTATTGGGTACATGTGTTGATTCTAAAGTTGTGGGATGATATTTAGAATCGACCCTTTGAATCCCAAACAGTTCATCAATCCCCCCCCCCCCCCCACCTCCCGGTGTGGCCTCAACCAACCGGCGGGCTCGTTGCATTGATTTAAATATAGTTGCATTGATTTAAATATAAACACAAAACAATATAAACAATCTACTTTCAGTCGGTCAGGCCACATACCACACACGAATAGTGTTGTGTGTCGTGCCTTAATCAAAACAAACTATCTCCCTTCATTATAATTAGATATAGCTTATTTATTTAATGAATGAATTAATTTGCTGGTTTAAAAACTAATGAGATCATTTACTGCATGGTAGCACAAAAACATTTTTGAGATATTGTAGCAAGTACCCTAATCGTGCATTAAACTAGAATAAAGTTAAAGGGCTGTACTCAATAACAATGAAAATAATGAAATGCCGGCTTCAAACTATGATTTCCCCATATTCTTCTACTAGAAATTTAGCTCCATCGTTTAAATGACTGCACCCTCCACCTCTCGCCTAATTTAATATAAAGTTACACTTTCAACTCCGTTAGGATGTGAGATCTACTGACGCTTTGTTTTCGGCAAAAAGATTATAATAAAATGGCATTATGGGGGGAGTGATATTTCTAGCATAGTGACCACACATAAGGACATGAGAATTATGAGAGGATTTTGTCATGTATACAAAGCTAAGACTCTGAACAGTTGCCTTACCATATGCTGGCTAACATTAGAAGCGTAGTTAAGAAGTCATTTGATTTTAAGTTCACGTTACACAAGAATAAACAGAGCTACTTTCACTAAAAACAGGCTTAATTAGATTTAGAACAGGTATTTCTGATTACTAAATTGACGATGGCTTCAAATTCATTGGTTTTATTTTTCTATCACTTATTGAAAATGAAATCGCACCGCCATCGTATAAAATGCTTTGAGAGCTTGGGACTTGAGATAATATAAACAAACCTGGAAGCTGTCAACCAAACGGCTTATAATTTTAATTTAACTACCACTAACTAGGCATTTTGTTGAACATTTCAAAACGATTTTTTAATTTAAAAAAGTATTAATAAGAGCTAGCACACTAATAAACTAAGCCAATTTAGCATATTTTAACTTTCTGTGCAAAGTCATTATTACTGAAAAAAATTCCAAAGTCAGGTTGGCCTGTGGCACCCTCCACTGAACTTGACTGAAGGAAATAATATCTGACCTGTGACCTTCATTTAAACAGAATTTACTTTTGTTTTTTTTTACTATAAGTAAAATTGTGCTTAATCTTACCCAAATAAGTAATAAAAATTTGAAAATTAATTTTAATTACTGCTGTACAGTGAGATAAACAGCTTAATAAACATGTGCTTTCCTAAGGGGGTGTGGCACATCGCAATTGGAACTTTTATATTTCAGTGTTTTATGAGTATATTTGTACACAATCAGCATTCTATGCTTTTTAAATTGAAAAAGGGTAATATATACCTACCAAGTTATAAAACCTGCAATCTAACTAACAATTCATACTTTCAGTTTAAAAAATAATAAAAACGATCATCAATGAAGAAAGCGTAAACATTCTATTTTTTGGTATGCCATAAAAAAAAAACAGTCATAAATCTAGCCAAATGATTGGATTCTTGTGTGGCACACTTTTTCCCGCACCTCGTTTTCACCAAAAGAGAGATTATAATATAACGGCATTATTGAGGGGTTATCATTTTCGCCAACCTCATCTCATAAAGACCATAAATTATTACCAATTAATTGTAATGTGTGTAAAATTAATGCTTTCAAGTTTTAAATAGACATAATCTGGTTTAAAATAGGAGCGGTATTTTACAGTTATTTGATTTAAAAGACAAGAAGAAAATAGAGCTAGTTTCGCTAAGGCGCCGATTGCGAGACAAACAAATAAATTAGGTCAAAAGTACACCTGACAATTCTTAAATAACATACTTAAATAGAAACGGATAGTTCCTATTTCTAAAATTGATGATAGCTTCATAATCATTAGTTTGACGTTACTACCACGTACAGCAAAACTGGTCGCTGTATTTAGTAAGCGCATGGGCCATGAGAGGCCACGAAAACAACAAACCCTGAAGCTGTGAATCGAACCCTACACTAACCCAACACTCCTTTAATAAGAAGATTGGGCCCTAATAACTAATACCTGATTATTGATTTCAAACAAACAAAATTAAATGGATGATTATAGATACCGGTGTCCGATAATGGAATCTTCTTTAAAAAAGGGGTGTTGAGTTGTTAGTAGTACTGTAATCTCGACTAATTTTATGGTTATAAATTAGGGTTAGGCATATGGTAGGACCAGGGTTGGGGTTCGGGTTTGCATTGAAATTAGCTAACCATGTGTGAATAGTGTATTCAGTTAACCACCACCAGTCACCCCTTTTTTTAAAGAAGATTCCATTATCATTATGATCATTATCGAAGACTGAAGACCGGTGAAAACATTCTCCCAATTAAATGTTTAATGTAGGTCTAGAGAAATCTAGATCTAGAGATATAATCCCATAAAATTGCTTGGGTTTATCTTACACTGCTTTCACAACTTACTTAGTGAACCATCGTCAAATCTGTCAAATTCCCAATCACCAGTGGGCGTTACCATAGCTTGTGGATTTGGAATGGACATCTTATGAACTTCTTTGTTAAAACAAAATATTTTGATAATATTATTTGATTATAATTGTAAGTTCAAAATATTCACATTTTGAATCTATTAATCTAGATAACTTAATAAAACTATTCTTTCAAATAATAATAAATGTCTACGTATTGTTTTTATTTGTGTTCTGCATCACCTGTCATCAACTCTACATGTCAGCTGAAACGGAAGTTTATCTTTCGTCTTGCCAGATAAAATTAATTTTAATTAAGCCTAACGCCCATATGAGAAAAAAAAAAAGTGCAGCTATCCCCCCATAACTTTATTTTAGGCCAAGGCTATTCCCAGCCGGTTGGGAATAGCCGTATTGGGGCTATTCCCAGTCGACTGTGAATAGCCCCAATACGGCTATTCACAGTCGGCTGTCATTTCATGCTAAATACGACTGTGAATAATATCTTTAAATAATAAAAGCATTTATTGTGACTGGGGAATGAGGTATACATTAAGAGAGCAGTGCTATTTTTATTTTGTTATAAAAGAGTTATTAGCCTACAATTAAAGTTTAGTTTAGCTTTTAGGCTCATATCAGACATATCTGCTACAGGCTACGTAGGTCATAGGCAGTAGCGTAAGGGGGGGGGGGGGGGGCAAAATGGGGGTGCAAATGGAAAGTTTGAGGGAGGGGGGGGGTGCAAATGGAAATCTTGAGCGGGGGTGCAAATCGAAAAGTTTAGTTGGTTGTTCACATTGCTATTCACTTATCAATTATCATTAAAAATTCACATTATCACATAGAATAAATATCAGGTGAAATAGGATGTCCTTTTTTATCAGCTATAATTCAGTTTCCATCACACTTTTGTGTATTCTCTCTCTCTTTTTTTTTTTTTTTTTTTTGCTAATATGCCAACAATTACGTCACAAAAAAAATCACACAAAAATTAACAAAAGTAACCCTTCGATGAGTAACTTAAGTAACTGAAAAAATATTTTGATATTACGATTGAGAGGCGTACATTAAGATACATAGAAATAGGTCATCTGATGGATTTGAACCCACTCCTTCTGGCACGGCAGCCACTCCCAATGACCTCTCGACCACACATCTTCATGCCTAGTTAGGTATTTTTAACATTAAATCTATCAAAAATGGTCACGTGAATACGACTGTGAATAGCCCCAATACGGCTATTCACAGTCGACTGTGAATAGACACTTCGTTATTTTATAGATCTACGTCCTGTACTGGCCTCTGTGAAAAACCTATCTGTAAAGGGCCGTGACTTATGTCTGTGTTTATTAAGCAGTATAGATCTATACCCGGCATTGACCGGGTTTAGGAAATATATAACATTTTCAATTAAATCTCTATATACAAATATGAATGTTTGAGAAAATAACACATAACACATAACCCTAAACCTAACTCTAAGCACAACCGACCCCAACCAAAACCAAAAAACACAAACGTAACATAAACACAAAAGCACAAGCACAAGCAATAACGCAAACACAACCACAAAAGCAAACGAAAACATAAACGCAAACAATAACGCAAATAGAAACATCAACGTAAACATTTTTGAACCGGCTTCTAAACAGTGGCGGAACTAGAAAAAAAAGGCCCCCCCCCCCCCCCCCCCCCCGCAGAATTTTTTTTTGGGCCCCTATATATATATATATATATATATATATATATATATATATATATATATATATATATATATATATATATATATATATATATATATATATATATATGGAAAACAAAGGTCGCACTTATAATAGATTGACGACAGAAGCCTGTGGTTGTATATAACACATTTAATGGGTCTAACTACCACGATGGTAACACACAGAGAGGACGGGAGGAAGGAACCCAAGGGACATCACTCAAGATAACAATATTATAAATATAACTAATACAGAAGAGTGAGTTCCCTTGACCTCACAATTATTTCAATCTATTACATCCCTTTACCCTTAGAACACAATAACACATCTCTCAATAGAACAATTGATAGTATCCTAAAATCACCAATTATATTGTAACATGAACACTATGGTAGATTACATCCTTACAAACAATGCACAATATGCTACAACATAATCAAAATACAAAACAATGATGTCAAAGTCCTTTTGACCTTTAAAATCATAGGTCTAACTTATTTGGGACTTTGATTGTCCTGCTTGACCTTCTCAGTGGCTTCTGATTTGGTGACTCAAGATTCTGACCATCTGGATTCTCTATCTCAGGAGGTCTAGGATTTAAATCATTAACTCCAGAATTTACATTTTCTGACTCTAGACAACTTGATTCACTCATATCAACAGAACTTGGTTGTGGAACAAACTGAGTTGGTGTGAACTGATCAGACTTGGTGGGATTGACAGATTCACACTTATTATCTGCACAAGTTATTTTTAACTGGTCTGCATGTCTACGGACAATAAGTCCATCATTTGTTTTTACTTTATAAGACACAGGTCCTGTACATTGAACAATTTGACCTGGAATCCATTTTTCCTTTCTCCCATAATTTCTTAGATACACATTATCATTAACTGCAAATTCTCTTTCAATGGATGATTTGTCATGATTTACTTTTTGTGTATGTTGATGTTGGGAAACAGACCTTTGAACAGTTGGATGTAGTAGGTCAAGATGAGTTTTAATTTTCCTACCACATAGCAATTCACATGGTGCAACACCTGTTGTTATATGAGGAGTTGTGCGGTATTTGGTTAAGAACCTGTTTATTCTTTCTCTAAGAGAAAACTTGTTACCGGTATTCATTTTTACCATAGCGGTTTTGAATATGCCTACCGCTCTTTCAGCTAAACCATTCCCAGCAGGATGATAGGGGGATGTGGTTATATGCTCAATACCATTTGCCACACAAAACAGTTTAAACTCATGAGCTGTGAAACTAGGCCCATTATCTGAAACAATTTGATCTGGTAATCCATGAGTTGAAAATATTTCCTTAAGTTCTATAATGGTATCATTTGCAGTGATTGTGTTCATGATTTTAACTTCTAACCATTTAGAATGTGAATCAATAACAATTAAGAACATTTTGTTCATGAAAGGTCCTGCGAAATCTATATGTATACGTTTCCATGGTTCAATTGGCCAGTCCCAGTTTTGCAAAGGTGCTGTAGCTGGTTGATTTGAATGTTGTGCACAGCTTGAACAAAGTTTTACATATTTTTCAATATCAGCATCCATATGTGGCCACCAGAACCATGATCTTGCTAGACTCTTCATTTTGGAAGAACCAAGATGAGTATCATGTAAAGTTCTTAAAACTTCTTTTTGTAACATTTTGGGGATAATTACTCTTGACCCCCATAGTATACATCCATCTTCTAGACTTAACTCTGTTTTTCTTATTTTATATGGCTTTAAGTCCTCATTCACTGACTCTTCAGGCCAACCATTCTTACAGTACTCATATACTTTTATTAAGCACTCATCTTTTTGTGTTTCTCTCTTAATATCATTCACATTTATATTGGAGTTATCCATGATAGTGAAGAGAACAAAAACATCTTCTGGTACATAGCTCAGGCTTTGGTTTTTTAAAGGTAATCTACTAAGACTATCTGCACTATTCTCAGATCCAGGTTTGTATTTCAATTCATAATTGTATGCAGTTAGTGTGATAGCCCATCTTTGAATTCTTGGTGAGGCATGCTCAGGTAGGGTTTTGTTTTCTCCAAATAAACCTAGCAATGGTTTATGATCTGTAAAGATGGTGAACTTCCTACCAAACAGAAACTTATGAAATTTCTTAACACCAAAAATGATGCCTAAGCCTTCCCTATCTAACTGAGAATAATTTTTCTCAGCCTGGTTCAAAGATCTACTGGCAAAAGCAATGGGTCTGTCACCCTTCTCATCCATGTGGGACAAGACTGCTCCTACACCATCTGGTGAAGCATCACATGTTAATATAAGTCTTTTCCCTGGGTCATAGTGAGTTAGTAAGGTGTCAGCAGACAAAGCCTCTTTTGCTGTATTAAAAGCAGCTTCTTGTTGTTTACCCCAGTGCCAAGTTGCATTTTTCTGTAGCAGCTTGTACAGTGGTGATAGTTTACCAGACAGATTCCCTATGAACTTTGCATAGTAATTTATCAAGCCCAAAAAAGCTCTTAGTTGTTGGGTATTTTCAGGTTTGGGTGCTTCTTTAATGGCTTTTGTTTTCTCAGGTTGAGGTCTGATGCCTTGTTTGCTTAATATATAACCAAGAAAACTAATTTCTGTCAGCATGAATTGACATTTATCTTTGTTTATCTTTAAACCTTTTTCACCAACAATTTTCAATACTTTATCAAGTGTTTTAAGATGTTCAGTGTCATTCTTACCAGTTATGTACACATTGTCAAAGTACACACAAACATTTGGAATATCCTTAAAAATACTGTCCATGACCGCTTGGAAAATTCCAGGGCTAGATGATATGCCAAAACATAGTCTTTCATATTGGTAGAGTCCTTTATGTGTGTTTATTGTCATATAGACTTTTGAATCTGGATGCAGTTCTAGTTGAGTGTAAGCATGACTAAAGTCTAATTCAGTGAATTTGTCTCCTCCTGCCAAATTCAAAGAAATTTCCTCAATGTTAGGTATAGGGTACCTATTTAGCTCTATTTGCTTATTCAGTGTAGTTTTATAATCTCCACAAATTCTTATAGAACCATCCTTCTTTAACACTGGCACAATGGGTGTCGCCCAATCGGAATAGTCTACCTTCTTTATAATGCCATTAGATTCCAATCTACTTAGCTCATTTTCAATTTTATTCCTCATTGCATAAGGTGGAACTCTAGCTTTGCAGTATCTTGGATTTGTGTCTTTAATGCTTAACTTCACTGTTCTATCATTTAGTAATCCAGAGTTACCAAAAACACATTTATTTTCAGATATTACTTTATCTAGTGAAGTAAGACTAGATTCTTTTACATTCTTCAATGAACAAATACTCTCCCAATTTAACTTAAGATCACTTAACCAGTTCCTACCTAGTAATGGCGGTCCATTTCCTTCAACCACAAGAAGAGGAAGTTTAACACTTTGACCATTATAACTTACATGAACCATACACTCTCCTATTACCGGAACATTGTCACCAGTGTATGTTGTTAGACACTTGTGACACGGCTGTAGAGGCACTGATCCTCCTGTGACAGCGTCAAACTCTTTCTTTGTTATGACTGTTAGAGATG